TGGCAAATGTTTACAATTTGAGAATTTGCACTTACATTAAGCTGACACACCATGATGTAACTAAAGTACACCTAGAACTGCATCCAGCCTGGCTCCTTGGCATTCCAATGGTGTGATAATTCTGACATAGTAATTGTCAGATTTAGGCAACCTAATGCTTCCCTCCAGCCTGTCTAGATGTAAATCCACACAGGATTGATTGGAGTGTTACACAGTCTTTTGACTTCACCCTTGTGATTGATGGGGAGAAACAGGAATAAACTTAAAAAACAGCAGATGAGCCACCATTGTCATTGTTCAGTCAGCTCCAGATAACACTCACACTATGCTACAAAGAAAACAGTGTTAAGATTCAATTAAAGCTGAAGGCATGAAGTGATAGGAGATTAGTACCTATCACACTTGTTTTTAGGTAAGAAAAGAATATGTTACACTATCATTTTCAGAGTGAGGTTGTTTTTTTTAAAAGTATTTCAGTTGTTACACGGCATGTCAGGTAGATGTGGGAAGAAAGCCAGAAATGATGCAAGTCTTGGTGATTTACCACCTTGATGAAACCTTTCTCCATGGTGCTGACAAACTGTGAATGAAAAACAGGGCAATTCCAAGATTATAACCACAACTCTGGCCAGATCTCAAGGCCATCTTCGCCCTTCTGCCGAAAATAAACATTCCTTTGAATGAGTATAAGTTGCAGTATTAATCTCCATTTCCAAAAGAATATTTAGTTTCTCACATGTCATTACCCATGAAAAGTTTTAAAATGCATATTACAATAGCAACACTTTATCACTCAACTGTTGAATATATCACTGTTTAATAAATCTACAATGTTATTACACATTGTGTATGGAGTATGACATCATAATTGTTTACAGTTATGACTTCACAATGCTAATACCTCTCTCACAATGGTAATAGACCTTGCTTGACTCTCGGTAAGCAGAGAGTCATCACACTGTAGATGGTTTCCATCAATTTATATTGGAGAGTAATAAACACAATACAAAACTCGCTTCTATGAAATACCATTTTTATAAAACTCGTGAAAGATTTACCAAAGCATGTTCACTACTACTGATGCCAGGATCTCAAATTGAAACAAAGCACAACTTTCTTCATCACAATCTAGTTTACTATTCCCATAGTCTGACATACAGACCCTGAAGCAAATGTATCCAAGAAATCCCATGCAAGTCTAGAAAATGTGGCAAGTCTGAAAATGAAGAAAGTCTCAGGGCTCCTTTTTATATATATATTTTTTTTCACTATGAGCCTTTTTTCTGTAAAATATGTTCATTTCAGAGACTAGTTGTTTATTTCCAGTGAGCCATAAGATGTGATGTGTTCTTGAAGGGAGTGATGGGACACAGAGGATGTTACACCAGGGCGTCCTTGTATATCAGAATTAGAGTTTAGCACTAATGGAAGGTAAATGGAGACTTGATCACGAGGTAGGGCGTAATTGGGGTGGTTCTGTTTGATATTAATTGTACGAAATGAGAATCAGGTGCTGTGTATTATTTGACTGGGTGTCATGCAGTAGAAGGCAAATATGTCTTGAGTTTTCTAAGCTTGTCGTTATTCTCATATAATCGTAGTAGACTCTGCTGGTGATATGTAAGGAAGTTTTTTAAGTGCAACCAGTGACTCAACGCCAGAACAGATTACATCGAATGAATGAAATTCCAGTCAAGCTGACATGGGTTCAGAAGAAGGTATCAGTTGTGGTATGGACAAAATGTTCTTGAGGCATGGGATTTAACTGACTATACCAGTCCAGTTACCTCCCTTGCTGAACTAGGCCCAAATTTCACTTCAATCACGCATCATGGTGAAGGACCAGGGCTCCGTTCCACACAAAAATCTTAGCGCTAAGGAGATCTTAACTCCCATACTTTAACACAGGCTTACGATTAGACTAACAACTAGTCTCTGAAATGAACATATTTTACTGAAAAAAGTTCATAGTAAAAAAAAATATAATTTAATAAAAAAGGAGCCCTGAGACTTTCTTCATTTTCAGAAGCTGAGGAGATCTAGACTTGCCACATTTTCTAGACTTGCGTGGGCTTTCTTGGATATATTTGCTTCTGGGTCTGTACGACAGACTAGCTTACGATCATCGTACCACTAAAATTGCTTTGTGGAACACTGGCCAGGTTTGACCAGGTTATCATGTGTGAACCCATTTCTGTTGTCCTTCACCATTATCATTTCATTATTTGGCTTCCTGACTCGTTCATTAATAATTCCTTCTTGGGTGATGGGATAGCTTGGTGGTTCATGTGTTCGCTCATCATCCCGAAAGTCTGGGTTTAAGTCCCCACATACAGGTAGATGAAATGTGTGAAGCCCATTTCCAGATATTGAAGCTCCCTGCCACAAATTGCTGGAATATTGCTAAAGGACTGCGTAAAACCATTCTTATTCGGTCAGAATTCTTCCCTCAAAATCGAAACAACCACATACAGGGAGACCATAGAAATCTGTTTAGAAAAGTGGTTATGGGAAAGTGGAGACGGTGGGGCATGGATGGTGTTCTGTGTGCTGAGGATAACTGTAACCCAGAGCCGTGTGGGGAAGTCAGTGATATTCCCTTTGATGTGGGCAAGTTGTGATGGAGGAAGGCTGTAAGTATTTCAGTCTATTTTCAATGATGAATGGTCCCAGAACTGTGTTTACACCTGGCTTGGGATGGGTACAACTAATTATAGGTATTTCTAGCCAAGTGGTTAAAGCGTTGGACGTCATGCTGAAGACCTGGGTTTGTTTCCCATATGGCTACAGTGTGTAATGCTATTTTTTGGTGTCACAAGCACAGAAACCGGTGAACACTATACTCAGTACAGAAAGTGAACAAAAAGAGACAGGTTGACACCTAAGGTGTCTTAAGATGTGCAAGGTGTCCTATCAGGATCAGTCAGTGCCTGCTGTAATTTGTCTGAGGTGTAGATCGCAAGCCATTTACATCTTCTAACATTAATGAATAATAGAATATTGTCCATGAAACATTCATAACTATCAGTACAGTTATGGTACGTAAAATACATATGTTTGGTGTGTAAAAGAACCAGTGATTGTCCATAAAAGGATCACGACTTCTTGTGTGTGTATTTATATATGGCCAAAATAGTTTATAGTGTATAAATGTAATGTTTATTGTCCATAAAAAAATACATGACCATGGTGTACATGGTACGTACAGATTATACAGTGTATAAAAGTAATGGTCATTGTCCATAAAAGCTTCCTGTTTGGAACCTAGTGGTCTGTGTATTAGGAGTGTCCATGATTTCATTGGATGTTTGGTGCATCACGATACTCCATTTGGCTCTGTATCAGTACAAAGCTTTTGTTCTTCCTCTGGATGTGTCAGGTTTTTTTCATTGATTTTTGTCGTGTACTGAGCATAATAAACTTATATAATTACTGTCACGATATTAACCTGTCTCACATAACCTGACATATTTCTCATCCCTCCCAGCCCTTTCAGTCATGATAAAGCCTAAATGAGACTTTGGGACGGTGGGGTAGCCTCGTGGTTAAAGCATTTGCTCGTCATGCCGAGGACCCGGGTTTGATTCCCCACATGGGTACAATGTGTGAAGCCCATTTCTGGTGTCTCCCGCCGTGATATTGCTGGAATATTGCTAAAAGTGGCGTAAAACCTGACTCAACTAAATGAGACTTTACCCACAATTCTCATCTGTCTGGGACTCCTGTCCATAAAAATAGGGGTATTTGTTTTCATTGAAATTTTTATTGTTTATAAGTTATTTGTTATTTTATTGTTTTCAAAATAATATACTTTCAGAGACAAAGCATTAGTCTATTGAAATATGTATCATATTTGGACAAAGTGTACTGTTACAACTCTAGTATTGATGCCAGAGTGAGTGAGTATGGTTTTACGCCACTTTTATCAATATTCCAGCAATATCATGGCGGGGACACCAAAATGTATTGATGCCAGAACTGGAAATTCACAGCTCGTTATGTTTACAACTTCCAAAACAGGGTGTGCATGTGTAACACATCACCAGCAATTACACAGCTTCCTGCCGGATGTTTATTTGAACTGTTTATGTCTCCGTTATATGAATGACACGTATGATTCAGTGTTTAATTTCAGTATATCGCACATAACACATATCGCCACAAAAGTTGGCAAGAAGTTCATCTTGTGTCTGCATTAGATATAAAGATGTATTCGTCTTGACAACATGTACAGACAGAACAGAGCTGTAATGCACGATGCAGACATGTTGCTTGACCGTACCTGACCTTTGCGTCACGCTGTTCACAGACAATTTCAGTTTTTGCATTTATCAATTAAAAAAGGGGGAAATTCCGGCTAAAAATAATTTCTGATTAAATTAACTCATGTTTAGAAAGTCTTGTCATTTGGGTTTAGACTTTGAATGCTCATAATTACGCAGTAATGGAATTTTAATCTCATGAACGTAATATGAGTAGCTATACATTGGTTAAGTCTGAGTAATCCTGTGAAAACCTGTGCTCCTTCACTGTGTCACTGTTAGTTTGACACAGAGATTCTGACAGGCTTACATCAAGTACAGTGAAACTTGAGAACAATACAGTATATGTTGGGTTTTTCTGCGGTCTGAGGCAGCAGAATGTTGATACATACCTCAACAATATTGTGAGTTGTACCTTGCTATAAGTAATATGTTTGGTGTTGATTTGATCATGGATATTCAAAAACGTGTTGGTGTTTTGAGGAGGGAAACTCAGGGTTGTGACTTGCAGGCAGCAACAACCAGTGGTTTAGGAGGACATAAAAACAATTGAGAGGAATCCCAGAGTTACTTGGAATCTCTGGCATGAAATCGAGATATATCCTTGTCCGGCACCATCATTGTGGTATCTTAGTATTAAAACAATGTAGCTAAATTTGGAAAAAATTAGTTTGATGTGAGAAATGTCTTGTGTACAGTTATCCGTACTAAGGGTAATCAGAATAGCCGAATTAGACCATGGCGCCAATGGAGCTCTGCATATATAATGTCTTGAACACTGTACCAGTTATTGGAGGGGTAATAAGGTTCCTTTGTAATCAGAACAGCAGAATTAGATCATGGCGCCAAAGGTGCCTGGATACATTATCTTGAACACTATACCAGTTATTGGAAGGTAATAAGGTTCCTCTGTGCTGGTGTATAATAGACAGAATTCTCCTACTGTCTTGCCATGTGTGAATTCTGTAAAGAACTTCTGAGACATGATAGTGTTGTAGTTAAATAGTTCTATCACCTGTTGCCCCTTCTGTATATATTCCCCACAGCTGATTGCAGCCCAATGGCCCTCCGTGCCAGTATCCACGGTAACTTAACTGCAAGGTGTTCCATGTGTTGGATGCGTTCTCATGGTGATTCTAAAAGCATTGTGCTGTGACTTCCCTTTGATTATTTTCCATTAAAACAGACAAATATATATATGCTCTAATTATCTGCTCTTCAAAGAAAAGCCCTTGGTAGATTTTACCGACCTGGATTGACTTGGTCGCCTTTGGGAAATAACTTACAAAGAGATCAAAGGATACTGATGTCTTTCAGAATGTGTCAAACAAAGTATATTCAGGTAGACCCAGGTAGCTTCTAGAATCCACCTCATGGATGTCAAAATCTGTCTTTCAATGAGTACCCTATTAGGGCTGTAACGATGCATCGGACTATCGATGCATTGCAATTGTTGAGTCTCCGATAGCAATTAATCGATGGTAGAAACGAAAAACTATCGATGCATCAATAGTGTGTGTGACTATCAATAGTTTAGTAATTGACTACGGTTGATAAACGCAAAATACAGGAAGTACCAGGTTCGTTCACTTTGATTTAGAGTGTAGACTTGCAGCTCCATTGAGTTTATGTTTTAACTGGTTTACTTGATCCTGGTTTCAAGTGTCTTGTCAGTTATTAAAAGAGATTGAAACTACTTCAACTTGTTTTTATTTCATATAAACTATGCATTCATTTGGGAAATGACTTTAAATGAGACAATTCAAGGAGAGAAAAACTATATAGTTGGTCGCAATAGACCATCACTATCACAATAGTATGTTGCAATAGACTATCGCTATCGCGATAGTTGTTTGCCCCTATACCCTATGTACATTCTAGAATACAATATTTTTCTTGTGATAAGATTTGAAAATGTGACTGGGAAATATGTATGAATATCTTTAGTTGCTTTGTATGCTGTATGTTTAATTACTGATTGTCTTATTTCAGATACATGAGGTGGACAAAGGTGGCCTCCCTGAGTGGATCAACTACAACTCCTCTTCCCATTCACTGATTGGTGTTCCCAGGTCACATGACACAGGGGACACATACATAGAGGTGACGCGAAAGTGTGAAGATGCTACAGATCCCTGCCAGATTATATCCGATGTGTTCCGAATAACTGTAAAACATGCTGGTCTTGGAGCAACAGGATCACCCGTGCCATTACCAAGGCAATCCAATTCTGATGTCAACAATGCTGCCATATTGGATGCAAGTTCCCCATCATTGTCTTCATTAGATGAGCGTGGATGTGGAGATGAGGTTGTACTGGCTAGTCTAGTCCTGTGTGTGGCGATTGATGCACTTGATCTGCAGCAGAAGGTTACAATGTTGTCCAACATGGCTGACTTCCTGTCTCAGCCTGTGTGGAAGATGGCAGTGATGCCCTCTAGTGGTCATAAACTGCGAGCAGTTGAACGAGGATTCCAGATCCTCTCGGCTGGACCGGGACCTGGTGGAGACTGTGATCTGGAGAAGAACGTAGAACTGTCATGGAGGTTAACCTGCCCAACCGTGAGACATATGGGAGACTTTGTGAAGGTTCTAGAGCACAACCTCAATGTAGGGCGTATTGAGAATGAAGTGGGTCAACCAGTAGTGGGATGGTACGTGGCATCATCGGACTCGCTTCAGACCAGCAAGAAGCGGATACGGAGACAGCTGCCATACCGAACACCCGTCCCCACCCCAGTACTTCAGCCGGTCACACCAACAGTGGTATACCAAACTGTTCGAGTTAGTGAGGAGGCTTTACCCAGTCAGACAGGTTCTGGTGAAGAATCCCTGTATGTCTCTCAAGTTATGACAAGACATCCAGTGGTTGTTGAAGAGTCTCCTTCATTTATGTTTCCCAGTTCTAGTCTAGAAGCTATTCCAAGCTCTCGCCAAGTGGTGCTTGATGAAATCACACCCTCATCATCATTCTCAACATCTTCAAAAATGATGCCGATGTCTTCTGAATATGTTCAAATGGAAAAGGAATCAATGGAAATCAGTGGTGAATCGGACTCGTTAGAATCTAGTCAGGCTAGGGTTGTGCCATCTTCTCGGCCAGTATTGATACCTCAAGTCACAAGACTTCTGCCAGATTCTCTTGATTCTTCATTTTCTGGTTCAGGATCTTCTTATGTGGATGCCTGGCCATCTGTAGTAGATACAGGCCCTATCACAAGGACATATGACCTACCAGACTTCTCATCTGGCATTGTATTATCTGTAGAAACAATACCTTCAAGAAGTGTTGAAGTTCAAGCAACTCCATCTGAGGACATGTTCTATACCTCATCAGTCCTTCCTGTGGCACTGCCGATCCCGATAGTGCCAACCACCACAGACGTATCAGAGGAAGTGCATGTTTGGGAAACATCTGATGTTGTTCATCCTAAACTGAGTGAATATGAGCCATCTGTTACTGAGGTCAGACAGGAGCTGACATCTCCAGAGGCACTACCGATACCTCCAGTTGAATCAACAATATCAGAACCAGTGGGTGTCGGGGATACACCAGATGTTGTGCGACCAAAGAAGAGTGACTATGACTACAACTACTCGTTTACACAGGTGTCACAGAGGATGACAACTCTCTACACATCTGATTTGGAGATGCTGATGCCCTACACTTCTTCCTCAGTGGTGTATTCCTCCTCATCCACCTCTTCCTCCTCCTCAACCATGTCTTCTTCAAGTCCATACATCCTTTCATCATCCAGTCAGAACATTTATGCATCTTCATCAGAGTTTAGTGGCGACACGTCCATGTTCATCATCTCAGAACAACTGATCCCTGTGTCGTCCCGTGTCATCCAATCATCCAAGGAGTCAATGGAAACATACTTAACACAACTCTTTGTCCCGGCAACCAGAGAGATGTTAGCTTCAGTAGCATCAGGGGAGGAGTTGACTGTCAGTTCCGTTGTTCCCTTGATGTCGTCTGCAGTGTATATTCCAATGGGATCGGGGTCAGGGTCTGGATCAGGGTCCGGTTCTGGGGACAGCATCCCTAAAGAGTCCATCCCGTCAAGTGGGTATGCTTCAACAACAGTTGCAGGATCAGCTGAGGTCTCTGAGATGTCGGGATCGGGGGTGATGGGATCAGGAGACAATGTCACACGTGCAGTGGATCGTTCCACTACAGACATGACAGGTAATTATATATTTCTAGAGTAATTTACCATAGAGTGAGTGAGGTTTATGGGGGGCGAAAATGTGGGGATTCAAACTTTGGCCATCAGTATGATGAGCGAATGATTAACTTGACTTCTTGATCACATGTAAAAGATGTAGATAAACATCCACATCCCTTATCATGTTTATGACTCATGTGATTTAATTGCAAAGGAAGAGTTGTTATCAAAGTCTCTGTACAGTCAACAATCAGCATTGTTTAAAAATAAAATATATGAAATTGCATATGGTAGAAAAGGCACTGGCATCATTATCCAAACAGCTTACTTCAATCATTCACAGGTCACCTTCATGATCTCTGTTGCATTGTTATTTAACTTAACATGAATTTGCCCAGAGAAAAGACTATCAGTTTTCATTGTAAATGTTTCAGAAATCAACCATGCTCCATCTGTGGTGATCCCTCTGTCTGATCCGCTAAGAGTACCTTTGGGTATCTTCTGGGAGTTCCCCATCCCCAACGATGTCTTCTTTGATGAGGAGGATGGAGACGTGACTAACCTTGAGCTGTCCTTGACCTTCATGGATAGGCAGAGATTTCCCCCCGATTACTGGCTGCAGGTTGACAAGAACAGACGTGTGCTCACAGGACTTCTGCTGGTTAGTGATCTTGATGCCACAAACAATAAAATTCTTCTTGTGGCGACTGACTCGGGAGGACTCTCTGCAGATACAGTCATCCAGCTAGACTTGGAAACACCAGCAGCTGTACAACAGACACATAAATATGACATTGCCTTTTCAGTTGATTACGATGAGTTCATGAGAGAGAAAGAATCAAATCTGAAACGTCTTTTGGGTCGGATCAGCTCCTTCTTCGATGATGAAGACTCCAGCAACATCAGAGTGTTGGATCTACGCAGAGGGTCGCTGGTTCTCTCGTGGAACAACGTGACGCTGAATGGGTTAGAGTGCAACAACAACACCATCAGGAGAATGTTTACCAGGATCATGAGGAGGGGAGAAACGATTCGTTCAACATTCATCAAGCACATGCAGCCAGAGTTTAACCCCCTGTTTGTGGAGTATGAGTTGGTAGGAGCATGTGCTTACCCTCCTGTTGTCCCAGTTGTAGAGACATTCCAGACAGCAAAACCATATCAACCTGCATATGTGGATCCCAGGGGACCAGAACTCTTCCCATCATCAACGTCAATTGTCGGAGTGGTTCCTAGTGCTACTGATCATTTATACCATTCCGGTCAAGGCAGTGGACTCATGACTGAAGGAATGAATGTGTTTTCAAGCAGAATGGATGTTTCCTCAGTGTTCGGGAGTGGCGGTCTGTGGACAGTAGCAGTAGTTCCTCCAGGATCATCTGAGAGTGCGAAATACTTTGCTACCATCTCTCCTCATCTTGTTTCAACAATGGCTTCTTCGTCAGCTTTGATCCTTCCTCCAGATTTCCGTCCAGACTTTGTCACTGATCCTAGTGACACCAGAACAGAGTCCTCAACTGATGACAAGTCATTTACTTCTCCCACGACATCGTTCACAACAAGACGTAGACAGAAGATGACAACAGAGGAGATGACATCATCTGTCGAGCAGAAGACATTACCTTGGGTATCAGTAGAGCCCTGGACGCTCCCTGCTGTAACCACTGAAGGTAAGACCAGATCGTTCATGTTTTATATTTTAATGTGTTTGTTTATTTGTAATTTGCCTTTCACCTCTTCAAGAAATTCTGTAACTAGAAATGTATATAGTCAAAGTGTGTTTATTTGAATTTCAAGACCTACTTAGCATCTTCACCCAAATGAATGAATGAATGTACCTTTCACTTAGGTACCATAATATTTGTAAGGGATTTGTAAATGTTAAGGGGGCGGTGGGGTAGCCTAGTGGTTAAAGCGTTGGCTCGTCACGCCGAAGACCCGGGTTCGATTCCCCACATGGGCACAATGTGTGAAGCCCATTTGTGGTGTCCCCCGCCGTGATGTTGCTGGAATATTGCTAAAAGCTGCGTAAAACCAAACTCAGTCAGTCAGTCACTGTAAATGTTAAGGTCATTGGACTAATTTCTTTATAACTTAAATTTAAGCTATAGTGTAACCCTTCTTGATACTGTATCCTGTGTAGGTGGAATCCTGAGACAATATTCATCACTTACATGCTTAGTGCACCAACTTCTGATATAGCTTTGAATACTAATGAAAGTGTTAGGTCAGTTATATGTTAAAGTATTCAAACCAACTAGGCATTTCTGGATATACCCAGGATCTCTGTAAAGCATTAAAGCCAACTACCGGGTACATACTTCTGGTTCAAGTGATACCCAGAATCTGTGTAACACATTAGAACCAACTAAGACTTTCTGGTTCAAGTGATACCCAGAATCTGAGTTAAACATTAGAACCAACTAGGCATTTCTGGTTCAAGTAATACCTGACGTCTCTGCATCCACCTTGTGGGCGTTAATGACCATTTTTATGACATCTAATGGTGCTGCTGTATCATCTTGCTGGTGGAATCAGTACACTTAATGGTAGATTCATCCCCTGTAGGAGGAGAGTTGGTCATTACTGGCGTCACAAACTTACTGTGGATTTCAGGACATACTTGCTTTGGACTAGTTGACATGGAATATTACAGAAGTTGTTGTCAACAGAAAAGTGTTTCATTTCAACAGTTTTTGGATCAGAATGTCCATGATTTTATCATTATGTAGTTCATTTCAAAATGCCCATGGTTTTAACAGTACAGAATTTATACTTAAACATTCATGATTTTAAAAGTAGGTTATGCAATGAAATTTAATTTTTGTCAAAAGTACTTATGTTCTGAGTACAAGTGTAGCTATGATTTTATTTGAATTATGGTATATTCCAAAATTGTAAAGATTTTATCACCATATAGTATATCCCAAAATATTTAAACTGTACATTAACATGAAAATGAATAAACGAATAGATAAATATACTACCCATCAAAAGCTTAGACTCACCTAAAGCTCTCACTATATGGTATGTATATACCTATGGTTACATCGAAGATGAATTTCTCCACTAACTTGGGGGAACCAACTGCAAACCTTATGCAGATGAATTGCACGAGGATCATGCATCATATTGCTGAAAAGCGTTTGCAGATATCATGCATGTGAACAGCTACGTATGGGTGTAAAGGTTTGTTAAGAATTCGCCATTTTCACTGAGTTTCATCATTTTTGTAACTCATGACAATAATCTTTTCAACGTTACAAATTTGTTTTACAAAGCATCAGTTCAAGTGTAAACAGTTCCTTTAAACAGAATGGAACATTTTGCAAAGTCTAGTTTAGAACAGTTGACTGAAGTAAGTGGCTACATTTACACTAGAGAGTCTAAACTTTTGACGGGTAGTATATATGTGCATCTCCTGTTTACAAAAATTACCTAAACAAAACTTACAATTTAATCAAATAACTTTGATTACAGAAATTAAATGCATACCACAGCAGCGAGAATCATTGATAAAATATCCATTAGCTAGCACTGTTTGAAAACACTAAGTTCCTTTTGCACAAAGCCTGAACATCGTACCTACTGTTCTCCTCTGAAGGGCAATTAATTGCTCCTCCGGCAGTGGAAGTCAGCTTTTTATGATGCAGTTGCTGTAACATTGACGTTCTGTTGGAACTTATTATGGAAATGAGGTACCCGATACATGCTGCACACAACCAGATGTACGAGATGCTCAGAGGTCCTGTGTTATCGCTCCATCGACAGACACTGTGATAGAGTCACCACTCTTCGAAGAAAAAAACAAATACCTGTACCAATTATCTCCCCTTTTATCATCATGTAACCCGCTCAAGCATTCCCTGTCGAAATGAACTTGCAAACATGGCTGAATATTTGTGGATGATCTGATTTTGGGGGTCTTATTTGATGTTATCTGAAATTCGATATTATGGCAATCTGTGTGGTATTTCTAGGGGGTGAACTTGTTGACTTTTGTTGAGACAAATGAAGGATATTCGCCTCAGGATATTTTCACAGCTGAGGTTTTTTGTATACAGTAAGGTCATTGAGTAGTTTTACAGAAAATAGTATTCTGGTAAAATAGTATTCTGCGGCTATCATTGTTTTTAATGCATTCTTGTGCTCCTTTCTTCAAGGCAGTGTCACACATTGTACCCATGTGGGGAATTGAACCTAGGTCTTCAGCACGACAATGAACACTTTATCCACTAGGCTACCCAGGGGCCATTTTATTATGTAGGGATGCAGATGGCCCTGTTTGTCTAATTCGTCACTGTTTGCTGTGCAAGTCCCGGGCAAATAACCTATGATGCAATTGCTAAAACAGGTTTCAATCCTGGCTTGCTGCAGTTTTGTTCCTCAGCACAATACCATGTTTGTTGATTTCCCCGAGTATAAACATCTGGGACCTGTGTGACTTCAGGCCTTTCTCTCACACCAATCTGACATGTGGTGATTTAACTGTACACAAATAACTTAATTAGGCACCCCTTGTATTTTTGCAATGATAGGTTTTCAACATGTACATATAACTTGCTGTGGTGACCACGATGGAAAAACATGAGGGTTTTTTTTAACCCATATGATCCTTTTACTCATAAAAAATGACAAAATCATTAGAGTCCATGTTCATTTTATGATGATAATTGCTCATTTTGTTTTTAAAAAAAAGTGATTTTCGTACCAAACCGTGTCTGTACAAGTATGGCCCTGGAATGTTTAATGTTGAATTTATTGGTGAATGTGAATATTCAAAAGGTTATTTTGCGTGTCTTGCATGATTCAATGTCAATTCCGAGTGTAACCTCCATGTGACTGTATGACAGCCAGCACGCTCCTCCTCATACCCCCTCTCAGCCTCCTGATCCTCAGAAGGGCCAGTCTACCCCATTCCTCGTGTAAAGCAGCTTCTAAATGGGTCAGGTCCTATACAGGAGGATGGATCCCTTTGTTGCACACGACGACCAATCATGTCACAGATATGCTCCAAAGGGTTAAGATCGAGGCTCATTCAACTGTGAGATATGTCAGGGGGTGCTTAACTAAGTTCTTTGTGTATAGAACGCTGAGACTGAACTGACACACTTTACGACAGTCACAGACGTATGATTATTGCAAGAACAGACATGGCTACTGGTCCATTAGCCTGACACAAGTAAAAGAAGTCAAGTTGTGTTATCCTAAATATACCTATTTCACATACCGGTAACCACTAGCATCAAGTGAGCTGTAGTCTATTTTTGAAGTACCCAATTACATTTACCCCTGGACTGTTTTGTGGATTAGGCTGGGATCACTGGAACAGAGTTGAGTAAAAAGGGTCGAAACAGACAGAATGAATACATGTATTAGGAATGCATGTGCAGTCATTGCCGTAGGAATAAAAGTTGGATGTGATGAAAATGATAATGGGGCTACCCCACTCAAAGAGAAGGAATGCCACTTGAAGCAGTCTTGTAAAGGATTGGTTTCAGGACTTCTTACATAAATAGCTGTGATTGCACTCTCATAAACATGGTTAGGTTTGACCTTGGAGATGAAGACTGCCAACTAGAAGGATAATTTTGTTCCATCATCAGACTTGTTGAGTGTTCTTTCACCAAAGCTAGATAATAAGAAAATTTGAAAATTTGCATGCTTATTTGTTATTGAGATTGATAATAACCTTCTTTATTTCTGAAAACTCAAAAAAAATTGTAACTCAAACTTGTATAAATCATTGCCTATTCCATATTCCACACTATTTAAAAAAATATATATATATTAATTATGATTATTTTAAAAAGGTTTCTAAACTTACTTCCATTATGAACATATATTTTTGTTTGTTTCAGCTGTCGACCATTTTCCTTATTTGGAGAACCCTGTGGACTACATTCCCGCCCACCTTGGCAAATATTTGGAGTTCCCAATTCCAAGAGGTGTGTTCTACGATCGTGAAGATGGTGACACTCGAGCACTCCAGTTGTCCTTGACCTTGCTCAATGGGCAGACGTTACCCAAAGACTTCTGGTTGCAGCTGAATGCCAGGAAGCAGATTATCTCTGGTCTCCCACTTCTCGTTGACCTTGACATTAGCTATCATCTGATTACACTGGTTGCAACAGATTCTCATGGACAATCGGTTAAAGACGCCATCAAGCTGTACGTTAACTCATCCTCCTTCGTCAGATTCACCCACAAGTTCATCATGACGTTCAAGATGGACTTTGCAGCATTCATGAACGACAGAACCAACCTGAACAACCTCCTGAAACGCATCAGTTCCTACTTTGGTGACTCTTCCCCTGACAACATGGTTGTGATGGACGTCAGCATGGGTTCCTTAGTCCTGACCTGGAGTAACACGACTCTAAACGGCGACATCTGCAACAACAAGACCATCAACAAGCTGTACAGACGGATGGTCAGGAAGGGTAACAATATTCGACCAAGCTTTAACCGTCACCTGAGTCCAGACTATCAACTTCTTGACATCACCTACGAGCTGCAGGGAGCGTGTGTTTACAAGCCCACAACGTTTATCTCCCCTACCACTGAGGCCAGCACCACTGGTACAGGGCTTAGTATCTGGGCTCAAGTCGTTCTGCCAGTGATGATTGCCCTTCTGCTTCTGTTGTTAATCCTTCTGATCATCCTTCTGGTGAATAGGAGAAGGAAACGACAATCTGCTTTGCAGAATTCAGAAAAACCTGTGTTTACAAATGACCGAAATCCCATAATTTTCCCCGAGGAAATGGAAGGTGATGATATGGGGCTGAAACCAAAAAAGCCAATAGTTTTACCCAATGACAGAAACCAGTCAGCATCCCCTTCGCCAAGGACAACGTATTACTTCGAGGATGAGCCTCAGTCTGATCACGGTAGTAACTATGGGACAGGAAGTCGGACAGGGTCAGGTCGTCGACATCCCAAGTCACCTCCACCATATTACCAGCCTCATTCTGATCCGCCTCCGTACCGACTTCCTCCGCCCTACCTCAATAACTCATCAGATGTTTGATGGGAATGAATGTTGCCATGGTGATTTGATGTTTGTTGAATGAATACTTACACAGACAGATGTGTAGTCAAGATGTTTCTGGAGTTCATGATTGGACATAGCCTTTATGTTACCATGGTTACTGTTGTCTATTGTGTGTTGTTTGTTAAGGAATATGTTGAGTTTCTCTGACAGAGGTTTGTCGTCAGTGTCCGCTATCTTGACTGGACCGAACTGAATCTCCAGCCATTACAGACGCATACAGTCAAGGAGACTTGATACGAAGAGTGTGTCATTTTTTAGATTCCTGTTGGATACATTTTTCAAGAAACCGAAGATTCTGTCTGGTCTTTGCGATTCTTCGATCACTGCATATCTAGTCACTGATTAAATTATCGGAGATTGATGTGGAGTATACAAAATGACTATTTGTGCCTTCAACATCTGATCAGCTGGGAGACCAGTGCTATTGTACTCTATAGTATTTCGATGACATTTTTGTCTTCAGTTCATGAGAGTATTCTTGATTTCATCAGTATTGTTACATTCGTACAGTGAATGAGTTCTATATCAGATCAGTCCATCCAATGTACAATGTACATGTACATTGAAGCTGTTATTGTTATGGTGATATTTGTTATGTATACTACTCAAAAGAAGTTAGGGAATACCTGATTCTTTATTTCTGCAGTTCAGCTGTTATGAGATATGTTAGAGAACACAGAATTCTTTCTTATTTTCTCTCATACCCGACAAATTAAATATAATAGTACGAAAGAATTGTGTGTTAATGTCTTGAGTAGTATATATGTGGCCAAGCTGACAGTCCAATATATACGCAGACTTCAAAATTCATTCTTGTTTAGCTAGCCTTAGACTACCAAATTATACTGAGGACATATAAAGATCCAATTTAATTTCAAAGCATGTGGATAGTTTAAACTGGTGTATTATCATCTAAAGGTATTGTGAATAGTATTGTTCCGTCCATGGAGTATTCATGTGTTTAACAGGGCTACAGATAAGGGCCGTATCGGCGTATGTACGGATAAAAAATATGCACGATACGGTAGGAAATAATTTAGAAACAGTAGCAGATACGCACCACAGCAGTGGTGTATGGTCTTAGAATCATTTACAGACGTATTTATCTGGAAAAAGTATTGTTTTATTGTTTTTTACCTGTTTACACAAGAGTAGCAATGTTGTGGTGCATATATGAAACGAAACACAAGATCACATACTCCATTAAATTCAATTCAGTACTCTAAAGGTTTTCCAGTACTCCTATATTTAAAAAATAAGGAGTACGTACTCCTGATGTTGAAAAATTATCTGGAGTCCTGGTTAAACTATTTCAAGGGTTCATGTTCACAAAGCAACAGTAGTGAGTGAGTTTTGTTTTACGCCTCACACAGCAGTATTCCAGCTATATGGCGGCAGTCTGTAAATAAGCCAGTCTGGACCAGACAATCTAGTGATCAACAGCATGAGCATTGAGCAACAGTTGTACTACAACAATTTAAACTCACTCGTTCCCAGGACACGAAGGCTGACAAAGCAACATGCTACAACATTTTAACTCCATTTCCTTCCTGACGAACCCGTTTATGTCTATTACTCATTTTGGATTCAAAACGTCCGGGAATTTGGTCTGTGAGTAACTCATGATACGAGTTCCATTTATAGAGTACAGAGAATTATAACTGCTAAATACCTTTGATCATGCTCTATTATTCTGTCAAAAGGCATTTTCTTTTTGTCCATAATGGCTAGACTGGGGAACTTGGCATCTATGTCCTACTGGTGACATCATACTTTGTTCACATCATTGGGATTTTAGTGTGTATTTTGTTGCAAGTCCTTCATAAATGTGATGTAAATATTTGAACATCAATGCTAAAATCTACATGTCGGGTCAGGTATGGTACAATTGCACTACTTGTAATTTCTGACTATTCAGTAGCTCGTATCACAGCTTAATACCACTTCTAGTACTACAGTTGCTTTGTACATGGGCCTCTTCTATACTGCTCAAAAGAAGTTAAGAACACCAGATTTTTCATATGATTACAGTCAGTCCGTTGTGGACAGTAACTTCTTCTGAGTAGTATATATTATCATGCAAGATCTCTATTACACCACATACAATGTATCACTCAGCTATACTCTGATCAGAGTCCATGGGAGTTATGGCTCCGTATCAACCGTGTGTTACATCATACATATTTCAGGGCAGGCACATTTTTATGAAGTGTTATTTTTATTCCACTTTTAGCAATATTCCATCAATACCATGGTGAAAAAAACTGAAAAATGAGCTTCACACATGTAGCCCATTTTTTTAATTGAACCAGGGCCAATGCAAGAGCAAGCGCTTAAACATCTGCCCCATTTTCCTTCAATAGCAGCTGGCAATTAGTGTTTAGTGTACCACTGTTTTCATACTTGTGGCAATTCTAGGAGTGACTTTGGCAAACATTTTGAGCCAAAAAAGTAGTTTTTAGTGTGAATACCACTTTCAGTTCAAGATTTTGTGATGGTGCCGAAATTAGGAATACAGTCCAGGGTCCTGCCGTTAACTGAAATGAATTTGGATCTCCAAAATCAATAGATATTAAAACATATGGACACCAAAACAATCCTTGAATTCCAAGTGATTACATAGGGCCAGCTCCATTTCACCTTAATGATTTTAACAGAAGAGTGCCAACGCTTTGCCAAATGGAACCAACAATCAGGATAACATTCTATGTACGAGCACAGTACCAAAGTTGGATATCTGATATTTTACTTTTAACCTTTAATATTGTATATTTGATACTATTTACTTTGTACTTATTTTATTGACTGTTCAGCATGTTTATATATTTCATTACAATGAATGAAAGATTCTGTTTTTTTTCTTGGTTAATGGAATATGATTTTATGTGTGCTTCATTCACTGTCTCCCCATGCCATGCTTTTTACAGAATTTGTGGTTTAGTTGAAAGTTTTAGAATAATTTTATTTATCGTTCCTATTTGCAAGTTATATCTGCTGACAACATACAATATGAGTTTCAGAACAATTATTCTCCAAAACTCTATTATTTTAGCGCTGGTCTATCTTTTTACTCTTGTTATATTAATGAACTTAATGATCACTATGAGTGAATGAGTGAGTTTTACACCGCAGTCAGCAATATTCCAGCTATATGGCAGCTGTCGGTAAATAATCGAGTCTGAACCAGACAACCCAGTGATCAACAGCATGAGCATCGATCTACGTACATTGTAGTTGGGATACGATGACATGTAAAAGTCAGCGAGCCTGACCACCCGATCCCGTTAGTCGCCTCTTACAAGCATGGGTTGCTGAAGATCAATTCTAACCCGGATCTTCACGGGTCAATGAATTTAATTATCACTAATAGTAATGATTCCTTACCTTAGTTAGGTAATATCGTCTAGTCACCTGTCAAGGTCACATTCAGATATTGTGATTTGCATTGGACATTTAGTCGGGTAGGATGTCTCATTTTAATCAACTTTTTTTTCTTTTTTCTTTTTTGTCAGCAGATATAACAGAACCATCATGTCCAGCCTTCTAAGTCAGTACCTATGTAAATATACACTTTCTTAAATTTGCTTTGTCTAGTCAATACCTTGCTCAATTTGTAATCTTTGTGTAGGTTGTAAAATATTTTGAATTCCGATTTGGGTGTTTTTGTGAAGTTATTCTTTATATATTTATGGACGAACTGAAGAACATCTTGAAATTCAAGCAAATGTCTGTTGTTCAAGGTGAAATCCAGATAAACCGATTACAATGCAAAGAATCTGATATCTGAATTAAGATAAGAATATGTGATGTTTGATAAAATAAGTATTCAGAGGTGGCCATATTGGCCTACGAAGTGGCTGCATTCATGAATATTATCCCATGTTTGTACAGTATTGCACTGTCGTAAGACAAGGGTGTTCTGTATGTATATTTTGTGTTTGTGTTGTATATTGTCTCAGGCAGTTTGTTTCAACAACTTGGTTTATGGATTCTCTGAAATCTAAATTAACATGCTGTTTTTATCTTCCTGAAAACTGTTTCAACAAACTTCAGTAGGGACCTACCATTAAATATGAAGGGGTAGGGGTGTCGACATGGCAAGTATTGCTGTCAAATAGGAACTGAACATTTCTCTTTCTTTCTTATCACATAAACTACAAGAAATCCATTTTTTCCTCCATTTTTGGGTCCCATTATTTTTTGGAAAATATTAATTAAAAATAAAATTCCAGGGTCATGATCCATAGAATATCAAATGGTTGGTCCCTAGTGAATAAAAAACCCGTAATCATTGCTGTAGGAAGGGAGGTAACTCTTTGACATTAAAGCACAATCATTTCAAAAGAATAATTTAAAGAAAAATATTTAAGAGATCTCATGAAAAATGGAAATAGAATTTCAGTTACATTTCCTTTTTTAAAAATCTGTATCTGTAATCCAAGAACTATTTACAAATGCCTAACTTCTATATCCCTTTATATCTTTGTCTTCCTGCTTCTCCCCAGCTGCCATTATGTGTAAGAAATGACAATGATTTCCTGACAACTAGTTTCAAACCAGTGTGTGTGAGTACATATGTAGTGTATTAATGTCGACATAGTTGTATGAAGTAATGTCGTCCTCATCATGGTTGTGGACTTATGTCACAAATATTGAACACAATATCGGCGCTAGCTACTAACATTTATAAGGGAACTGAGATAAATGGGATCAAACCATGTACACAACATCATAAGCTAGGGAGATATACCCATGATATCATATACCGTATCACCTACCCTGCTGTGTGAGGCAGTTGGCGACTGACAATATTCCAGTTATATCACTGCGCAGGTGTAAGATGTTCATCACTTCTTTGAGAACCCATGGACAGGGGCATGGTGCTGACTAACCTAGAAACACAGTCATGCTGGATCTGAGATTGGAGCCCATAATCACTGGTTCCTGGAGTGGCAAAGGGACACAACTCTGGACAGTAAACCTGTGCACTATCTAAATGGAGTGACAGACTGGATAACAAAATGTTTTTGACAAGATGATAGTTTAATTTATTTAGAAATCAATAAGTTAAGTTTGTGAAAGGTTATAATTGATATTTTATTGGTTGGAAACATCAGACATGTATACTTGGGTAATGCAGGAATGTGAGGAGACAAACCCGTGAAATACTGACCAGTTATTCCTGATACTCCAAACCATCTTTCATCAGCCATGGACAGTTGTGTCGGACCAACAATGCCAATGACCAAGTATTTATAGTGCTAACTGTACAGGACAAAAGTTCTAGGGTGTACATGGAGAGACAATACCCTGTGCTGACCTGAACAAGTATTAGTCAATTGTTAAGTCAACTGTATTGTACATTCAACATATGAGTATGTATTATTAAAGGGTCAATGTATATCAATATAATTTCAGTCATGTATGGAAAATAACTAAGCTTAAGATACTAATACCCTCAGTAACACCTATCCCTGCTTCTCTGTTGATTAATGTGAAGAGTAAAGCAAGGGAGACAACTCTGTTCCATTGTCGTGATTGTATATAATGTGCACTTGCTTGATCCCCTCCAGCAATAAAACCGTCCTACATCATCTCGGTGTCACTGTTTATAATAACAATAATAGTAGTCTTTGTCTTTTCTTTGGGGACAGTGGGTTAACCGAGTGGTCTAAGCATTCACTCATCACGCCAAAGACCCGGGTTTGATTCCCCACATGGGCACAGTGTGTGAAGCTCATTTCTGGTGTCCCCTGCCGTGATATTGCTGGAATATTGTTAAAAGCGGCATAAAACCACACTCACTCACTCTTGTGCTTTGCTATGCTCAGGGCAGCAAAGTTCAGTCGAACGTTTGATGGAAGAGACAGTTCTGAGGGTGGAATAGGTCCGAGAAGAGCAAGGGGAAGACAAGTCCATTGACATGATGCTGAGGAAAACGAAGCGTCTTTATTCAAGTATATTTGGTTTATTATTCAGGCAATATTTCAGGCTCTTGTTACAGTTTTTCTGGTGCATGGATAGTGTTGAATGTAAAGTCTGCTATCGACAAGTATTGCACATCCAAAAGCACTTTGCCTAGTGACTGCACCATTCATTTGGGACTCCAAGGAACTTTAAAAGATAGCATCAGTTGTGAACTGTCATTCTGATAAGGGATAGATGTTGCCACGGTTAACTGATATAAGAGTGCATTCCCAGGCAATGTGAAATCTGTACAGTGGGTATTTGCGACCACAACGTCCGCCTGTCATCCTACAACTTTCTGTCAGAGTCGCTATATCAGTGGTATGGGTAAGTCAACATTGGTAAACAGGAATTTGTAAGTATCATCAGTTGTAAAATAACACGTGACAAGCATCGTCAGTTGTTAGATAACATGTGACAAGTATCTTCAGTTGTAAAACAACACGTGACAAGTATCTTCAGTTGTAAAATAACACGTGACAAGCATCGTCAGTTGTTAGTTAACATGTGACAAGTATCTTCAGTTGTAAAATAACATGTGACAAGCATTGTCAGTTGTTAGATAACATGTGACAAGTATCTTAAGTTGTAAAATTACACGTGGCAAGTATCGTGAGTTGTAGAATAACACGTGACAAGTATCATCAGTTGTGAAATAACATGTGACAAGTATGACCAGTTGTGAAATAACACTTGACTAGTATCACCAGTTGTTAGATAACATGTGACAAGTATGACCAGTTGTAAAATAACACATGACAAGTATTACACTTGTAAAATTACACGTGGCAAGTATCATCAGTTGTAGAGTAACACGTGACAAGTATGATCAGTTGTGAAGTAACATGTGACAGGCATGACCAGTTGTAAAATTACACGTGGCAAGTATCGTGAGTTGTAGAATAACACGTGACAAGTATCATCAGTTGTAGAATAACACGTGACAAGTATCATCAGTTGTGAAATAACACGTGACAAGTATCGTCAGTTGTAAAAGAACATGTGACAAGTACCACCACTTGTAAAAGAACATGTAACAAGTATCATCAGTTGTAGAGTAACACGTGACAAGTATCATCAGTTGTAAAATAACACGTGACAAGTATCATCAGTTGTAAAAGAACATGTGAGAAGTATCACCAGTTATGAAATAACACGTGACTAGTATCACCAGTTGTTAGATAACATGTGACAAGTATTACAGTTGTAAAATTACATGTGACAAGTATCATCTGGTGTAAAATAACACGTGACAAGTATCATCAGTTGTAAAATAACATATGACAAGTATCATCAGTTGTAAAAGAACATGTGACAAGTTTGACCAGTTGTAAAATAACACGTGACAAGTATTACAGTTGTAAAATTACACGTGGCAAGTATCGTCAGTTGTAGAATAACACGTGATCAGTATCATCAGTTGTAGAATAACACGTGACAAGCATCGTCAATTGTTAGATAACATGTGAAAAGCATCATCAGTTGTTAGATAACACGTGACAAGTATCACCAGTTGTAAAATAACACGTGACAAGTATCATCAGTTGTAGAATAACACGTGACAAGCATCGTCAATTGTTAGTTAACATGTGACAAGTATCTTCAGTTGTAAAATTACACGTGACAAGCATCGCCAGTTTTTAGATAACATGTGACAAGTATCTTCAGTTGTAAAATATCATGTGACAAGTATCTTCAGTTGTTAGATAACATGTGACAAGTATCTTCAGTTGTAAAATAACACGTGACAAGCTTCGGCAGTTGTTAGTTAACATGTAATCTTCCGCCGTCAATATATTTTCAGTCGTAAAATAACACGTGACAAGCTTCGGCAGTTGTTAGATAACATATGACAAGTATCGTCAGTTGTAAAATATCATGTGACAAGTATCATCAGTTGTAGAATAACACGTGACAAGTATCACCAGTTGTAAAATAACGTATCATCTGTTGTAAAATAACATGTGACAAGTATCGTCAGTTGTAAGATAACATGTGACAAGTATCATCTTGTGTAAAATAACATGTGAGAAGAATCATCAGTTGTAGAGTAACACGTGACAAGTATCATCAGTTGTAAAATAACACGTGACAAGTATCATCAGTTGTTAGATAACATGTGACAAGCATCGTCAGTTGTAAAATAACACGTGACAAGTATCATCAGTTGTAAAATAACATGTGACAAGTATCATCAGTTCTAAAAGAACATGTGACAAGTATGACCAGTTGTAAAATAACACGTGACAAGTATTACAGTTGTAAAATTACACGTGGCAAGTATCATCAGTTGAAAAATAACATGTAACAAGTATCATTAGTTGTAGAGTAACACGTGACAAGTATCTTCAGTTGTAAAATAACATGTGACAAGCATCGTCAGTTGTTAGATAACATGTGACAAGTCTCTTCAGTTGTAAAATAACACGTGACAAGCATCATCAGTTTTTAGATAACATGTGACAAGTATCTTCAGTTGTAAAAGAACATGTGACAAGTACCATGTGTTGTTAGATAACATGTGACAAGTATCTTCAGTTGTAAAATATCATGTGACAAGTATTACCTGTTGTAAAATAACATGTGACAAGCATCATCAGTTTTTAGATAACATGTACCCTAAACAAAGTCACAATACAGAAACGTACCCGGTACAGTAAAAGGCGGACGAGTCCATATTCCGCAATCCCAAACCGAAACCGCATGTAGGTGTTCGCGTTCAACTGATTGCGATTGGTATTCATATGCATCGCGAAATATCCGTTATTGTGTATTCTCATTACTTAGATAACGCAATCAAATGTATCTAATACAACAGCATGACAGTTCCGATCAAGAATACGACACAATGGGAATGGAATCGTCCTAGGGTACGTTTCTGTATTCTCATTATATTATGGCCAAGGTATGTTTCTGTATACCTGGGGTACATATCTGTAGTAGGCTACCCGTGCCGACAACGACCCCTTCAGCTAAAATAACACGTGGCGACAACGTGACCACCATGACAAAGTGAGGGAGTTTGGTTTTACGCAATATTCCAGCAATATCACGACGGCGGACACCAGAAATGAGCTTCACACATTGTACCCATGTGGGATGACATAAAGAAATCAGTTGCGAACTGTCATTCTGATGAGGGACAGATGTTGCCACGGGTAACTGGTATAAGAGTGCATTCCCACACTGTAAAATGTTACCCTTACAATTACAGTCCATCCACTGTTATTTCTTCATTGTTACTTTACGATTGAAAAAATTGGGAGATATATCGGAGTCAATCAATGTCGATATGATAATAATGAATGTTTTGAGAGTGCATCCCCACTTGCACTTCCTGTTGACAAACCACAGTTGTTTGTACAGTAATCGCTCTTGAAAAGTGATTGCTGTGTGACTGATGGTGGTATGCATTTTCAAACTAAAACAACAGCAAGAAAGAAACACTAACAACTGCGTGATGCAAGATGATTGTCAAAATTAATGGTATACAGTAATTTATCGACCTTTCTGAAAACCGTCAAACTCAAGAATGTGTATTAAACACATTTAAAGTCCAACGAAAACCAGTCCTATAACCTGAACCCTGGTTGCAAGACCACACCTAAAATCTCCAGTAGATGATAAACTCAGTGTCAGATGTAATAACATCATTGCTAGGTATGCTAATTTTTGTCAACAAACAAGGTCGCCAAGATCTAATTTTACAACCGGTCTGCTAGACTAAGGCTTAGTCTCTGAATATATATAATTTTGATAGTAACAAACAAGCCCATTTATATTGAAAAGGAGCCCTAGGGAGACCAGAGATTCAGAACCTGAACCTGAGGAAATCTAGATTTGCTTTATTTAGGGCTTTAGCACTGCAGTGAGGGATTGGCAGTAGGGAAATTAATGTGGTTCTGGGACTGTGAGACAGACTACCGGTCTGCAGTCACGTCTTGGATATGGCCTACAATTAGCCGAGTCATAGTCTGTCTCACAGTCCCTGAACCACATTAATTTCCCTCTGCCAAGCCCTCTCTGCAGTGCTAAAGCCCTAAATAAAGCAAGTCTAGATTTCCTCAGGTTCAGGTTCTGAATCTCTGGTCTCCCTAGGGCTCCTTTTCAATATAAATGGGCTTGTTTGTTACTATCAAAATTATATATATTCAGAGACTAAGCCTTAGTCTAGCTGAGTCACTGTTGTCTGACTTGCTGTATCCTTTAGCCGCTGTTGGATGTGACAAAGCTGCTTGTTCACTCACTATATATAGTGGGCTCATTTGCTGTGGGAGATTCCAATATCTGCACTGGTGGGGGTGTAGCAGACTCTTTCGGTTCAGCTTGACACTGGGTAACTCCCGACACGAGATGATGAACATGTACATATCTCTTGATTTCCTCCACAGCCTACCAGGTAAGTAAGTCGTCCTAGTCTGCGAATCACTACTCCTGGGTCCATTTATTCTTTCCAAGTCTTACACAGCGAGCTTGAACAAACTGATTGACCTGACATTCTCCTAGATGTCTACCTTGTTGCTTTGCCACCTGTGTGTCCTGTTTTTTGCTCTACAGTCTCTGAGGTTTCAACACTGACAGACGTGTTCTAGGTTTGCTCTCTAAGAATAACTCCGCTGGTGTGCACTTGGTGTGCAGCGTGTTCTTGTAACTCTACTCCTAGGCCAAATGTAGAGATAACATCATTATCAGGTAATTTGATACATCAGGCCTTATCATCCATACTGCATATCCTGATCATGTTGAACACCAGTGCTTGTCACCGTCCATTAAACCATGCAGTTAATACTCATGCAGTTAGTCTATGAACATGTGGACACTGTTTCAACAGCGGGGTAAACCTTGTTTGTTTTTAGTAACCTGATACATTCTGTGTCTAGTTCCAGATTGACAAGAATCTCTGGAGGGTGGGAGTTGTCATACCAATTACTGGATAACGCTTTTACTGCTGCTGAGAGATCCTAAAAGATAGGGACTTTTCTAACATTTGGCCTAGGACTAACTCGTCAAGAACGTAGCAAGTCGATATGTTTGGTTGTCAGATGCTCTCCCCTCTCATCTTGAGAAGATAAGATCCGCTTCAAAATCTGAGCAGTGCGCTCTGCCGCACCATTTGAAGCCTGATGATAAGCAGGGACTCTCGTATGTTCACGCCGTTCTGACGCAGAAACTCTGTAAAATATGTTGCAAGAACTGCAGACCGTTGTCCGAGATAATTTCTTATGGAAACCCATATGCTGCAAACAGTGTACATAGTGTATACATTAATAGTTTTCCGTGCAGTAGTTGATGATGCCATGTGATAAACACATTTACTGTGGGAATCGACTACAGCAAGGTAGTGCTGTCCTTCCTTCTCTGCCCACACTCACGTAGGCCAAAGATAATGATGCAGTGGAGCTACAGGAGCTTGATTCTTTAGGCTCAGACAGGTAGTACAGTTTCCAACCAGTCTTTCAATGTCTGAATCTAGACAAGGCCGCCTTAGATAGCCTCTTGCATAAGTCTTGGTGCGCGACATTCCCAGGTGTTCAGCATGTTGTAATTCAGATAACAGTCTCTCCCGTAGTGAAGGCGGATCACCATCGATGTTTCCCCACAAGATACAGCTACTTTCAACTGATTGTTCAAATATTCCAGTAACGAATGGCTTAATTTCTTCGTCCTGATTGGTGAGAGGCCAACCTGAACAAACAAAATCCAGAACTCTTGACATTACTGGATCATTCCTTGTAACTTCTGCTACATCTAATGCAGTAACTGGCAAATCCTCAAACACTGAGAACTGATACATATCTGATTGCCGGAACAACTGGGTTTTTTTACCTAATATTGTGGTAAGGGGCTTGTGATTAGTCACCAGAGTAAACGTCCTCCCAAACAGATACTTGTGAAACTACTTAATTCCAAAGATTATAGCCAATGCCTCTCGTTCAATTTGTGCATAATTCATTTCACTTGCTGACATAGTCTTTGATGCAAATGCAATCGGGTGTTGGGTTTCATCCTGCATCTCATGAGACAGAGATGCACCTATACTCCACAAGATGGAGCATCACACTCTAAACGGGCACGTTTCTGAAGATCATAATATGTCAACAATATGCCACTCATCAGCTGTTTCTTGCAGGCTTCAAATGCCGACTGGCATGTGTTCGACCATAACCTTGGTTCTTTTCCTCTTTCAGTAATTTGTACAGACGTGCCAGTTTTGTTGAAACGTTTTCCAAGATACTACCATAGTAGTTGACTAGACCTAACCATGATCTGAGTTCGCTAACATTACTTGGAGGAGGGGCATCCCTGGTGGCCGAGATCTAATCTTCGGTGGATGCCATCCTTATCCACCTCGAATCCCAGGTAAGTAACACTAGGCACCTTTAACTCGCATTTTGACCTCTTGAGTTGAACACCATAGCTCTCAAGGAGAGTCATGACTTCATGTAGAATACGATCATGGTCAGCCTCACCAATGCCCCTTATCAGGGTATGGTCCAGGTAACACATCACACTCTCAATACCCTGTAAAATTTGGGCCATTGTCTTTTGGAAAATGGCTGGTGCAGTGGCCACTCCATGCATATATCTTGACTTTGTACAACCCACGTGGTGTATTGATAGTTAGGAACACTTGCATTTCAGCGTCTAACTCCAGCTGTTGGTAAGCGAAATCGAACCCGGGTCTTCGGCGTGACGAGCGAACGCTTTAACCACTAGGCCGCCCCACCACCCTCTTGTCTCCTCGGACGATCACAAGAGGTAGTTCTTGCCTCTGTAAACCTCTGTCACATCCACATTTACCTGTCTTCAGAGTATGAACACGATGTCCGCTCAAAACTGTGCAGTGGTAAAAAACTAAAATTTTCTTTGTAAAATGCTTCTGGGGCAATGGAAACAACAGCTCCTGTGTCTATGCCAATTGTGACCCGTGAAGGTCCGGATTAGAATGAAGCTTCAGTAACCCATGCTTGTCGTAAGAGGTGACTAACGTGATCGGGTGGTCAGGCTCGCTGGCTTGGTTGACACATGTCATCGGTTCCCAAATGCGCAGGTCGATGCTCATGATGTTAATCACTGGATTGTCTGGTCCAGACTCGATTATTTACAGACCGCCGCCATATAGCTGGAATATTGCTGAGTGCGGCGTAACACTAAACTCACTCACTATGTCCGTTGTGAGTGAGGTTTGCTCTTAGCAAGATTACCTACTTTCAAACATTTATTACGACTTTAGTCTTGAATTACTGGCAAACAAAGATAAGGTGGACGGCGCAGAGAACGCGTTTACGAGAAGTAGGCGGTGCACGGCAATGAGCAAACCCATTTGGTTTGTGAAAGGTGGAGCAGATGTAGGCTAGTGCACATGTATTGCATGACGATGAAATTGATTCCGCGCGTAGCTCCACACGCCTTGCTCATGACATTCACGTTGGTGGATCAAGTCGCACTGCACTTGATCGCGGACAACCTGGTGCCCCTTCGCTAACAATGGCAAGCGCCAGCGGGCGGCACTCATACATACCAATACGGGTCAGTTATATCCCTGGCCGCCGATCCTATACGTTCCCTTTGCTACACTATACAATATTTATATTTCATCTCCAACATTTATATAAAGCACACTTACATTCATGTGAAACAATTAATTGACTTGTGATGAAGTTTTTATGGAGCAGCATGTAAAATGTGAATGACGAAAAAAAAAAAAATTTAAAAATAAAATAAAAAAATTATGTACAAATCAAGTGCTCTCCCCTCCCCGGCTTGTTATGTACAAAATCAATGACACCTCTTTTCCCCACCCCACCCCTTCCCATTATCTTGAAGCACAAACTTTTACTATCTAAATGTACAAAATTCCTGAACAACCCCACCCGCATCCAACCCCACCCACCCACCCCAGTTCATTTTACAAACCTGATATCTCACACACACACACACACACACACACACACACACACACACACACACACACACACCACCTCCCCAGAACAAAATGGGTAGGAATCAAAAGTTCAACATCAGGACTGGCTAACTTGCCAATCAAACGTTATGTTATCATATAGCGGAAACGTAACCTTTTGAAAGATGAACCTTTCTCACAGCTTTTGGGGCGGACACGTTGCTGAGTTAGTCAAAGCAATGTGGCAACAATTATTTCTTGTGGCAAGTTATAATTCCCAGTTGTGTACCAATTGAAATTCGTTTTCGACATTTGAAAAACAGCATGATTACAGTTAAAGTAATGGCAATAATTCGAAGACCGTTGTCGAAAGTAATAACGCTAGATAAACTAAAGTCTAAAGTCATTAAGAATATTTGCAGAGTGGACCTCAGTTCCGGGCTGAATAGTCTGTCTCACAGTCCCTGGGCCATATTATTTTCCCTATACAGCCTAGCACTCCCTGCAATGCTAATTAAGCAAGTCTAGATTATCCCATCTCTGGTCTCCCTTGGGCTCCTTTTCAATTTAAATGGGTTTGTTTGTTACAATCAAAATTATACATATTCAGAGACTAAGCGTTAGTCTATGCTGAACAGTGGTAGGAGGTCTACATTCCAAATTAATTATTTGCGCCTTGACCGGTCTGTGACCTGGGAGCTGGGAGTAACCAAAATAGATCGGAGTTTCAGGAATGCTGGTAGGGTGAAACAGAGGGCAACAGTCAGAGATGTGTATACGCATGCAATAATGCCGGAGCCATGGCCCAATGCAGATATACAGATGAGTCATCATTGTCGTAATCTTCAAGAGTTCTATTGTCGGAATTTATTGCGTGCTTGGCTAGTTCAGCAGCTTGTTTCAAGGACCGATGAATTGCAATCTAACTCGAACTAATAAACATAACATACTCAATGAAACGCTGATCATAATCAAAACATCATACCAACTCTGTGAGGTTTTTGCAGAATTTTTGTCCTAAAAAATAAACAAGTTGTTTAACAATCTATCATTAAAATATTGACACAGTTCACTATTTGTTACGAGGGAGGAGTGCAGAGAAAGGGACAGCCAGGTGCTCGAGAAGCACGTTCACAGACAAAGTCATTTCTTCATTAACCTGTGCTGTGCCGTCTCCATCCGTTCGCGAGCACCTGGCTGTCCCTTTCTCTGCACTCCTCCCTCGTAACAAATAGTGAACTGTGTCAACATCATACCCACTCACAGAGTGGGTATGATGTTTTGATTATGATCAGCGTTACATTGAGTATTTTATGTTTATTAGTTTTCGAGTTAGATTGCAATTCATCGGTCCGCTTTTGAGCCAAACGGACTATAGACACTGTCCAGCTTTTCAAGGAATGAATAGAGCCGACAAACAAGTAGGACGAGATATTAGTTGCTAGGCGACCATTGCTGGGCAATGTTTGCGTTTGAGTCCATGGCCTCGTTATCTGCTTCATACATTTCAAAGAGAGTGTCACGTTGTGGAGTTATGGCGAGGTACCTTGAACGTTAATTAAATTAGAAGAGTGAACCGACGATGGTAAAGGAAAGGTGTAGACTTTGTAAAGGTTGAATAAAAATGTGTGTGACGTCACAGATATTGAAATTATAAGGAATATGGTATCTTTCTTTCTTGTATACAATAATGCATGGTTTGATATCGCAATAGATTTGTGCTAGATGAAAACCTGGAAAGTCTGATGTTTTGTTGTAGAACTTCGGCTGGAATTAAAAATGGGGACAAACGTTGAGATATTAGATCGTGGATTCCTACATAGAAATCATTGAGACACATTTTTGCTTCAAAAGGCAAGCTCGTGTAATGCAGCATTAGTTGACTACCGAGTGTCGACCTACTAGCTATCCTAACAATGTCCGTGTGGGTATGGTTTTCTACTTGACCTATTAGTTTGTGGTTTTCAATGGCTGCGGTCGCTAACGCATGGAAGCGTTTGGAAGATATAGCGCGATGTGATGCCATGTCTTAGTCGGCCTTTTGAAGTTAGTTATTAACTCTCGGTTTTGTTGTAAAATTGCTGCGGCATGCTCGTGGATTTTGTAGATCGTTTTCTGTAGCTAGGCCAAATGCAGTTTTAGCTGCTGATCCTAAAATATTGAACCAACTCTCTTACGCCTTAGACGTTTTCTCGCAGACGTTTCGGGTATCAGATTCATACTGGAACGCGCATCTGTCCACTCATTTACGAGATCATTCTGTAACTGATTGACATGTGTGTATGCCAGTTTCAAAATGTTGCACGATTGTTATTCTGATTTGTTACATGGTGTCATGAATGTTTTGACTGACTGACTGACTGAGTATGGTTTTACGCCGCTTTTAGCAATATTCCAGCAATATCACGACGGGGGACACCAGAAATGCATGGGCTTCACAAATTGTACCCATGTGGGGAATCGAACCCGGGCCTTGGGCGTGACGAGCGAACGCTTTAACCACTAGGCTACCCCACCGCCCCATGAATGTTTTGAAGTTAACTGTTGGCATCAGTATGGGTCCACTTGTTCCGTGCATTGTCCATAACGCCGACTCTTTCGAAGATAGTGCCGTCGTGGCTTACGTAGTCTGTGATACAGACCCTGAAACAATTATAGCCAAGAAATACCATGCAAGTCTAGAATATGTGACAAGTCTAGAATATGTGACAAGTCTAGATTTCCACACTTTCAAGCCTCTGGGCTCCTTTTCATTTTTTATATTTTAACTTCTTTTTTCTGCAAGATATGTTCATTTCAGAGACTAGTTGTTACAGTGTAGTCGTGGTTGTATGCTGTATGCTTCCCTGGCGGAGATTTCGGAGACCATGCACTTACACAAACTGGATATCTCCCAATACAACACGAGTTGGAGTACATTTAGAAATATTCAAACACGTTTTAAAGAATAAACTTTGAACTTTCTCAATATCTCCTCTGTAAGTGAAACCCCAAATTCCCGAACCATATAGATCTAGGCCTAATAATATTGGCATCACTTTTGTATCATTTTTTTTGTGGGAGAGGGGACATATTTGTCCTTCTGGTATCCATTGGATTAATAAAGCTGAGGTGATTTGAGTGATGCTTGTTATACGTTTGATTTTGTATAGGCCTACTCTGTGTTTAGTCACTGCAGAAAGGGTACATTACCTTCTGGCACTATATATGGTTAAATCTCAGTAGTATTCAGCTACGCATGTCCATTCTTCCTTTGATACACGACACCGACCGCATGGTATTTAACATATGCTATTTGCGTATGGCAATAAGCCAGCATTCTGCACCTCAAAGACGTATATATACAGGTTTGGAAGCAACCCCTAGTCTCTCTCTCTCTGGCGTGGGACGCGCCACAGCATGTATCTGCTGATTGCTGCGCGCTGGGCATGTTGGGTAATTCGTGGGCCAGCAGAGGGAAGACACCATTGTGGTGATACTCTACAGATTACAGCGTGCAGGTAGCATTTCATGAATCAAGGGTAAGAATCATCATTACTTAGACGACTAGTATATGTGCAAGTCACCAGTATCTTGTTTCAGTGGTTTAACTTATATCTTTTGCTAAAATTCCTTTTGAAATGCTGGCCATTTGTGACTCGTGGTGGCGACCTCGAAAACAATATGGTTGACCCGCCCAGTCAGCAAAATTGTAGACACACAGTATGGCTTATTTGAGCTTCAATTCACGAAGTTGAGGATAAAGAAAGGGAAAAAAAGTCCATGGCTAGAGTGCAGTTTACCGGTGCATTAACTGCCCTCCGCGGAGCAATTATCCCACTAAAAAAATAGGCACACTGTCTCGCTATTATGTATCGCTGCCCGCTTCACGCTCCAGTGCTCTCCTCTAAATGGCTCATTTCCACTTACCCAACTTACTGGGTGGGTTAAAAGATATTAACTGTTACGGGTCAGTGATTCCTAAGGAAATTGTTACCCCTGCTTTGGTTGTGACATAAGGTCACCCAGCACTCCAATCAGGATCAAGCAGAGCAGTCACATGACCACTGGTGAACATATTTCACAAGATAAACTAAGTGAACTTTATTCATATCACTGCTACAAATTGAATTTTAATTGAGTGAACTATTCCAACGACAAGTATTAATAAGGTAAATAAGTGCCTAAGGGATCCTTAGGGTAAGGGTATGGCACCCTTTACGATCACTTGGGTTAGAGTTAGGTACCCTTTATGATCCTTTGGGTTATTGGGATTTACATGGAGTCTTATATTTGAGGGGCCCTGGGACTGATATTCTTAATTTTCAGGTGTCCTGGACAACAAAATGGGGTCCCAGACACTTAAATATTATTATTAATACTGTTATTGTATATTGTGTATCATGATCATCACATTGTTACAGTAATTAAATTGCTAATTATGCCATAACCCAGCTAGGAGCAAACTCAGTGGTAACTTATTGTCACTTGATTGGATTTATTTTTTAAACTAGTTGGACTTTTTCTGAGTCCCTGTGGACGTGCTAATAAATTTTGTTGTGTCCATCGTCAATTTTTATGGGTCCTGTTAATCCCTGAGGTTAGGTACCTTTACTATCCTTAGGGTTTAGGGTATGGCACCCTTTGCGATCCTTAGGGTTAGGTACCCTTTACGATCCTTAGGTTTAGGGTTAGGTACCCTTTACGATCCTTTGGGTTAGAGTTAGGTACCCTTGTAGTTATACGACCCTTACGGTTGAGGGTATGGCACCCTTTACAATCCTTAGGTTAGGTACCCTTTACGATCCTTAGGTTTAGGGTATGGCACCCTTTACAATCCTTTGGGTTAGGGTTAGGTACCCTTAGACCAAATAAAAAGAATGTTGTGGTTCTGATTACACCTCTTTAAAATTTAAAGAACAAATCAACTTTGTTTTGTACTCTTTTTGTACTCCTCCAATGCTTTACTAACTGCCGAATTACCTTTGTAAATACATATGGTGCTGAGGACAACCCAAAAGGTAGTACAAGAAACTTATAAAACTTTCTAACCGTGCCTTCCTTCCATGCAAATCCCAAAAACTGAGTATGATCTTCAAGTATATCTAAATGATGGTAGGCAGAATGAATATCGAATTTAACAATCCAATCATTTTTCTGTATATATAACAAAGCTGTCCTCCAGTCTTCATATTTGACCGATTCCTTCCATATATGTGTATTCACCACCGAGAGATCCAGGATCAATCTCTTTTTACCTGAAGACTGAGCGAAACAGAGGGGTTTACGACTGTAGGTTTTGAGAGCATTCAACAACCAAACCTTTTTCGTACCAAATCAGCTATAGCCCCGCTACAAAATCTTTATGCATTATTGCTGACTTATTGTTTAAATCCATATCAGGTGGAGTAGAATAAAGGGAATCTTGTAACCATTTTCTAGAATGTCAAGCACAAAGTTGGAGCAACCTATATTTCTCCAAAATTGTACACTGTCCTTTAATCTATTCTTCACTATGATTTCGGGCATGGCCCTGCTCGTATTCAAAATAATCATGAGTCAGTAGCGATCTGACCTACTTCATCAAAAACACCATACTTAACTTTGGTGTGCTCACTAGTATTGTCATCCACTCCCTGAAGTGCGCCCCGCTGTGGATGATTGCTGCTGTCCGCTTGTAAAGGGACAATGACGTCGCCAGTGTTCAAAGCTTCCACACGAGAAACATGCCCCGCTGGAAGAACTCCTCGAAGGGCTGATTGACGCTAGGTACAGATTCAGCAGAAGTAACAGTAGCAGAAGCTGCACGACCACCTCGAGGCCTGCTGTAGGGACTCCGTGTGAAACGCGCGCATTCCTTGCCTTGAATTTCCGAAAAGCTTTACTCTCAGCCCTTGAAATTCGCTTGTCGTCGTCTGAGTCAGATGCGAGACCTCGGGAAACATAATTTTTCACAGTTTCCCATCCACCATCAGAAGTGTCGGCAATCCTTATCAGTTTATTACGCTGCTGCTGAATCACGTAGTACTTCTGTATCTACCAGATCTGAGGTAATCCAACTTATTGTATTCAAGAGCAAACTTAATCTGCTCCAAGCTATCCAAAGTCTCAGAATTGAAACTATGTTGAATTTTATTACCTTCTTTTTCCAAACTATGTCCTTAGCAGCCTTCAACCATTGAGTTCTTTAGGCGTCTTTAGAAATTAAGCCACGAAAACTCTCCAATCTATTTTCCACAGACTTAGCAATTTCTGCTTTAGATTGGTCCAACTTCAACCAAATCTCGTCTAGTTTGTCAGAGATAGGTTTGTTTTGATCCATGTTATAACTGATAGGATAATACTAGACTCGAGCGCACCGCAACTGAGAATGCACTTCAAACTCCCGCCTTTCCTTATAAACCCATAACAGAGCCATCTAGCGGACATTCTTACATCAACAAGTAGTACTTTCCTACGCAAGGAGAAAATAATTTCAATCTTATTCGTTCCTCAAACGAAAGAAATTATATTTCATGGAACCCATTTAAGAAACGAACACTTCATTTTGAAATAATTGTGTAGAAAAGAGTTTAATTGTCGACTTTTAAAAATGTTCTTGTCTCTAAACATTGGTATTTAGGGAACATCACACAAACTAAATGATGTATTTGAAATTAGACATACATGGTTCTGGGCAAAAAAGATAGGTGACTTTTGAAGATCTCGACTGGATCTTTTCTTTGATATTCATGACAGTTATTTGGGGTTTTTTTATCACCAGAATATTTTCTACAGTAAGGAAGAAGAGAATGTGTCTGTAATACTTCTATTTCATACTAATCAATGTAATGGAGGAGTATTGCTTTCATCGTAACGTATATTACTTGTCTTAGGTGCTTTTGGGGAAACTCGAAGTATTTACTCTGAGTTTCATTTTAAATGTGTAATTGGTACGCAACAATTATTTTTCAATGCGTAATTGGAAATTTTCTATGCGTATTTTACCCGGATACGCAGCTAATCTGGGCCTCTGACTCCTGCATTGCCTGAACATCATAGAGATGTCACACTAGAAGGAAGATGGACTACTACATCTGATGGGCGTCGCTTTCTTGGTGTTGAAGACAGAGACGGTAACAAGTTGCTAGTGTTGTCTGCGGAGGAAACACTCTCGTTACAGTACTTGCAGCAAGCTGATGTCCTCTTCATGGGTGGAACTTTCTATTCGTGCCCAAAACTTTGGCATCAGTTGTACGTGATTCATTACTAGGGTTTGTGACAGCGTCCAAAGAGAATGAGGACTTTTCTGACCTGTTTCGGTCTGCTGTAGCCCTTCCTTTCTCACCTCCTGATTTTGTCGAAGACACCTGGTTGGAGGCCATGAACCAAGCAACAGACATCCGAGGCTGTGAGGCATTTAAAGAACCACTAAACTTTGTTTTTTGTTACTCTTTTAACCATTACATATGAAAGATTTGTGGTTAGTCTTATGCGGAACACCAAATTTATTCTTTAAAAACTTGTGGTTAATTAATACCGAGCGATTAAAAGTGGCCAAAAAGTCGCCTGCTTCCCTCTCGCCCGCCAACGAAACCACAGACAGGTTACGTAGCTCTGTCGCCAGAGCACTGCAGTGACGTCATATGAGGAACGATTTTCAGTTAGTTGTATAGAAAGTGTGCAGCACGCTCATCATTTTGATGATTTTCGACATGAACGGCGACATGCCGAATCGTTGCTTTGTCGTCAATTGCTCTCCTAGGGTCGGGTGATGGTGTCACCATGCACAGATTTCCACAGGACCCGCAGTTCGTGCTAAATGGGTTATGTTTGAGTGAGTGCTGAAGCGGCGTTGTGGAAGCCTGAAGCGATATCTTACTTGTGTTCAGATGGCTTCACGGAAGTTAAAGAATCAAAACTACTTACTAGTTATAGTAAAATATGTATATGATTGATGACCATAAAGATTTTCCATAACACAACTTGTAACATAACGATTTCTTCCTCGGAAGTGAGGTTGTGGTCGAAGTAACAATAATATTGTAAATAGTATTATATTGACACCCACCTCGCTGCCAGGAGAGAAATTGTTATGTTATCGCTATGTCATGCAAAATCCTATTGGCCATCAATAAAATAGATATATTTTACTACCAGTAGAAAAGTAGTTTTGATTTTGCTCTTCGGTGAAAACAAACCTAAATAGCATTTATCCTCAGACTGGCGAATGTTCCCGACAGAGTGCCGCCATTTTGAAAATCGTAAAGTCTGTTAGAATTAATGAGATTATAGTTTGTTTTCATCAAGTTAGAAAATCAAAACTACTTTCTACTCGTGAGTTAAATATGTATTGGAATCATAACCAAAAGGATTTTGCATGACACAACTTATAACATAACGATTTCTTCCGCGAGGCGAGGTGGGGGTCGAAGTCACAATACTAGCGCCATAAATTTCTTGCTACATTCACATGGTTAATGTCCACTCACCAGTATGTAGATACTAGTCAATGTGCGTCTTTATATTTGGTCTTATAATCCTAATTAGTTTATTATCATACTTTTATGCATTTTGAAACTAAATAAAAAGCTGGACGATCTGCTGATACTTATAGTGAATTAATAACAACTGTAATATCTAGACATTTTATAGTTTGCCAATGTGAATCATAATTCGCACACACACCCTAGTGTATGTTGTCTGTCTCATTACACTTCACGCAGCGAAAACAATGATTCTGTTGAATGCTACGACAAATGAATAAAAACAAAATGCAAATATTAAAATTAAAACAGATTAAAGTTATAGGAACAATATCAGGCCATTACCTTGTTTGAGGAATGTATCCATCAATATCCACAAAACTGTTCCAAATGATGTGTCTTTTAACAGTTTAATATACGAAAAAGTGATAAATCTTTTCAGGTATTGGTGTGTAGTCTCATTGGTCACCCAAGATAGCACACCTGGCAACTAATTGCATAATGTCCGCCTTTCATTAAAAACAGTAATTTAGTTAGCCAATAATGGGCAATCAATCAATGTATTGGCGGTTAATCCTTTGAAAGAAGGACGTTGTTTTTACGCAGACACTGACACGGCAGAGTGTATTCAGTATAGATTAGTAAATCTACATACATAAACACTACCTTTTGACAAATTCGCTGTGTAAGATAAAAGTAATTAATCAATCAGCATGTTATCGGTTAATCCTTTGATCGATGTTTATAATGTTGAATATTTACTCCAGACACAAGAAATGCCAAATGGGAACCTTTGTCGGGTAATCTAAGTGTGTTACCACTAATTATACCTGTTATAAATTCATTAACTGACCATCAAGTGAATGATGACAAATAACATGTGTAGTTTATACCACCTAACACGGGTTACAACAAGGGAGTATTAATTGCTGTATTGCATGTGAAAACTTATGGGCCGACACTGTTTTGAGAATACAAACAGATTTTTACATGACATGATTAAATATCGAGGTAAAAACACAGAAATGGGATCAATTTGGATCAGTCATTATACAAATAGGGCCTAACGACACCAATCAATTGTGACAGAAGCGTCTATGAAAACAAGTTGTAACTTCGGAAACAAGGCAAAGCAGGAGACAAAATTAAATGCCAGTAGATTGTGAGAACATATAGCTTTCATTTTCCACAACAATTGTCACGATTTCAGGTTTATACAAGCCTGTAAACAAGATAATTTACCCCCTAAAATGTAGATGAATTCTGCATCGGCCTTCAAAGCTATTCCTCATATGATGTCACAGAGTCGCGCCGCTCTGATTGGTTGAAATTTCGTTCGGGGGTGAGAATTGTGCACTGTTGTCAAAAAGGTCGATTTAAGTCAATTAAAGGTCGAAATGAGTAGTTTTAATGACGGGGTTTCATTTATAACGATGCCAGTTAGTGGTTTATGTATTTTTACCCCCTAGGGTTTATGTGACCTTTAAGGACTACGTTCAGTCCCTCCTGGATTCTGCAATTCCGCGGTTGCAGAATAAATCACAGAAATTACCCTTTGATGCATAAAAACGTCTGGTTCCCGGAAAACGCATTTTCATGCAGAATTTGCCATTTTTCTGCTGCGGAATTTACTTATTTTGAAAGTTGAATCAAGATTGACTATCAACCAAATGAAAAATAGGGGTAAAAGTAAAAAAGTATGATCAATTTCACAAAAACAAACAGACATTTGTTATAATGATATATTCAAAATATTCACGAATAAAGATTATTATTCATAAGGTATTTTGAGCACCTTTCAATAATATTATATGAATTTGACACTGCAATTATGTTCACAAAATCAATCTTTTTAAAGATTGAAATTAATTCATTTGTTTGTTTTTTCAAGTTGTTTACTGAGGAATGTTTTGCAGAATTTTGAATAATGGGATACAGAATTTACTTAAATTTGCTGCGGAATTCTTAAAAATTCAGCTTGGAATCCAGGAGGGTCTGAGTGTGGGTGGATGACGCATGTTTCCACCATCGATGTGTGGAACCATTCTGAGACAGACGGCCCAAAACAAATGACCATCTTGAAAGTTTTCATCAGTTTTTGTAAATATACTTAAACTCCTCCACAACAATGACCTATGTAATTAGCTGAATAAATATTGTATGCACATAGTACAGCTATAATTGTTTATAAATGTTGGTGGAACAGTCTACCTGATGGAGGGGAGAGAGAGCTAGTAATTAAAAAAACTCTCTACTGGAACAGGTTGTGTTTTGGACGGGTAGTCGAACTGGGAGTAGTCATAATGGGAATGAACCCATAATTACGTCACTAATTAACAAAGTCAGTAATCCAGCAAAAGCGTGTTCGAGCCCCAGCAGCGCTAATTAATCTGAAAAAGTGCGCCTGGTAAAGTGCACTACTACCAAGTCCTTAGTTACTTTGGTCAGATGAAGGATCTATTTATTTTGTATTTGCTTACAAATTTGTGTGGAATATTGATGTATTTAGATAGTTTCACTTGCGATAGTCATGACATTTTGTGTCAAATAAAAATATTCAGTAGCAACATCCATATTCATTTTGGGCTTTTATTAGGGGTGACTATTGAGGGAGAAACATACTTTTGCGGTAGCGATAGCCTATTGCAACATACTTTTGCGATAGCGATAGTCTATTGCAACATACTTTTACGATAGCAATAGTCTATTTCCACCAACCTTTGCAATATTGCAAGAGCTTTTTCTCCTTGAATTGTCTCATTTGAAGTCATTTCCTAACTAAATGTATAGTTTATATGAAATGTAATCAAGTTGAAATAGTTTCAGTCTCTTCTAATGACTGACAAGAAACTTGAAACCCAGATCAAGTAAACAGTGAACACATATACTCAATGAAGCTGCAAGTCTGCACCCAAACATCTTGTATTTTGCCCAGCGCATTTATCAGCAGAAGTCAATTACTAAACAACTGATAGTCACACATACTATCGATGCATAGATAGGTTTTCGTTTCTACCATCGATTAATTGCTATCGGCGACTCAACAATTGCAATCCATGTATAGTTCGATGCATCATTACAGTCCTAGTTTTTATCACAATTTCCAACACATCCACTGAACCATATTTTTCAGAAATAATTAATTTTAAAATTTCCGTTTGTTTGTTGTAGTGATAAAGATTTTTTTGTTTAAAACTTTTGCGCTTAAAACTTACAAACAAAAACGTAAATTTGTTCTTAACACCATTCCCCGATGTATCAGTAGTCCTGTCATTTTCGTATTTTCAAAAAAATATTTGTCTTATTTGGATACATTGAGTTTAAGAAAACAATAAATAAAAATATTTATCTTACCTTCATGTAAAATGCTTAATTTCATTGGTCAGTGATGCTTTAACAACTTTCCGTGTCACCCTCCCAGGAGGGTAACCACCAGACTCTTAGCGGAGATGCTGTATTGCTAACAATCATAATATGAAGCATCCAGTGCACAGAGTTTGAAAACCGTTTGATTAGTAGTTTTTGAGTTCACTATGTACACATTTATTTTACTGACTTTCATTGCTTTATTTAAACTATTTTATACATTGCATTGTTTGCACATTCAACTTAAACATAATTAACCTTTTTTATCACAGAATATGTTTAATTGATTTGAAAAACCCAGTCGAGAGGCAGACGCCATTTTGTTTACATGTCGTATAGTTGGTAGTGTGCTTATTGATCTTCCAAATAAAATAAAATGATATTTTGTACATCGAACATGGCTGTAAGATAAGTATGTTGTAAACCTCACCGTCGGGTAATACGGTCTGATGTACGTCTTTGTGTAGCAGTGGTAGTACTTACAGGCTCGGGTGACAATGCTACAAAGATGCGTACATCAGACATTATTACCCTCAGGAGAAGTATACAACAGAAAATGTGTATACTATCCTAATTATTGAGATCATAATAGGAAGTGTTTGTGTGCAATATTTGTTTATATTTATTATGTCTGTTGTCTCTTTAGATGCTCCAGACTCCTTGGCCTGTGGCAAAGAGAAAGGCAAATGGTCATAGAAAGAAAAGTCACAGTTTTGCAGTTAAACAAGTTGATCATGTTGCTGCAGACCACTCCAATTCAACTAGCAGCACACCAGGTCCACCTACTAGCTCCACCTATCAATCATATTCCTTATTATCCTGGGATATTACGACCTTCCAGCTATCAGCATCATGACCTTTGCCATTGAGAGGATGATTGAGAGATTTGTTCAACCATCTGATCATGAACCTAGCCAAGCCATGAGATTGAATTTGATCATCAATCAATGTTTGAAACCAACTTTATACATCCATGGCAAAGAAATAAATTCTGATCATTTGGACCGGTTTTCCACACTATCGTCCTGTGAAAGACATCCAGAAGTTACAGTCCAAACTGGAGTGATAGGACAATTGCAAGGGACACTTTGAGGCTCAGTACATATCCATGGTGCCCTCGGGTGTTTTCAAGAGTTCAAGTTGTGTCTCTGCTGTTGGGTACCGGGAAGCTATCCATGCCATCAGAGGAGACATTGCATACGAGTCAACAATATGTTCAACTAATTACTGTCGACTGGTTCAATCAAAGAGGAGATGCAAACACTGTGACCTGTACAGAAATACTCTGACGAAGTAAGGATTTACGTTAAAAGCCTACACTGTGTCAACATTTTCTCTGAAGAAAACAGCCACAATACTACGAACAACATTCGTTTTGTTAAAACTATTAAAATGTTAAAAAATGAAATGTGATCAATTCAAGCAGACGTTGACCGACTTAAAACGGGTGCTTGATCAAAACAAAAGGACTTGTTAAGCTGCAGTGACAACGAAGAACTCCTAGAACTTGTGGAAAAGTACACACATGATGTCGAGAGACGTTATCCAGATGAACCTTCTGCTCAAAGGCTCTTCTGGGACCAACAGCTAAAGTATGCTAAACTCAAAAACATCAGCGATGATGTGGCACCCTATGATGGTAAAGTGGTGTTTGTCAGAAAGGTTACAGTGTAGCCAGATATTCTGGATTCATTGCTCTTCCAATAACTCGTACCCTATTTGACTATTCACATGTCTTTCCGAGTACTTGTGGCTTTCAGGAAAAATTTACTGAACATCTGATAGAACAGGCAGAAAACTGAAATGTACAAGGAAGAATGGAAATGATGGGATCGTCAGAAGGACTGGTTTATGACAACAAAAGTAGTGAGTTAGTTGGAGCTGAACAAAACCGGGAATGACATCAGAAAATCTGCTAAGTGACAGTGCAAAATCCATTCTTGTTGTTGTTCTGGCGAGAGGTCACAACATCAGCGATTTACAGGACGCGAATTCCTGCGTCCTAAACGCATAAAAATGGACAATGGAGGCAACAAAATATATTAGTGCATCCACAGGCATGCAGAAAAAGTCCAAATACTTTTTGTTTAAAATTCCAATCATGTAAAAATAACATATAATAATAATAATAATGTACAAAATATATATAGCGCCTTATTTGATGTGCAGCTACATCACTCAAGGCGCTTAACAGTCAAATTGGTGGCTATTGAGCTTATTCACACTTGAACAGATAGGTCTTAATGTTCTTTTTGAAGTTGGTGATTGATGTTTCTGTTCTGAGACCGACTGGGAGACTATTCCATAGGGTACTTGCTGTCTTGTGGAAGCACCTCTCTCCATACCTAGCTGTGTGTTTTCTAGGTACTGTGAGAAGAGAGGCTGACTCAGACTGTAGAGATCGAGTCGGATTATACGGTGTGATGAGATCCTGTAGGTATGCTGGAGCAGTTCCATGCAGGGCCTTGAAGGTGTAAGTTAATATTTTATACTGACAACGGAGGTGTACTGGTAGCCAGTGCAGGGCTTGGCGAACTTCCGTCACGTGTTCCCATGTCCTGGAACGGGTGATTAGTCTCACAGAGGCATTCTGGACTCTCTGTAGTCTGCGCATGAGAGACTTGGGTATTCCTGCAATTAGTGCATTCCCATAGTCCAGGCGTGATGTAACCAGAGAATGGACCAGCTTCTTACAGGTTTCTTCATCAATGTATTTTCTTATCTTACTGATGTTTCTGATCTGGTAGAAACATGATCTAGAGACAGCATTTACTTGTCTTTCCATAGTAAGGAATTTGTCTAAATAAACACCGAGGTTCTTCACTTCATCAGTGGTGTGGATGTTGTGGGTACCAACATGGAGTTCCAGATCACGGTGAACATGAATTAGCTACTAGCTGGGTTATGGTATTATTTACAATTTAATTACTGTAACAATTAATATAATGATCATGATACACAATACACTAACAGTATTAATAATATTATTTAAATGTCTGGGACCCCTTTATTGTTGTCCAGGACCCCTGAAAATGAAGAGTACGTGTCCCAGGGACCCTCAAATACAGGACTCAAGGTAAATCCCTGCTACATCTTTGAAGTGTCCATTTTTCTGTCTGGTTACTGATGGAATAACTTCAGCTATTCCCTCCTATATGGGAAACTGAGAATACTAACAATTGAATGCGGATTAAAGCCATTGTTTATTACGTGTGATGGGGCAACCCCAAACAGGAATTTCTTCAAACTACATCATGATGAAAATTTGCAAAATACCTTTTGGGCTTTAAACCCATATTTGTTTCCCACCAGAAAAACTGTTCTTCACATCTTATGTCCCACACTTATTGGAAACATCAAGAAACTGTTTCTCAAATGCTGGAGCACATAATTTGGCAGAAAATCTTTGGAAGAGTTAGAAATGCATTTCATGGGCTATATAATTCGCTTGTATAAAATCTTGTGGAGACACCATTATTTTCCATATGTCACAAATTATTATATGTCTTTGCGCTGCTCTATGTCCTATCTGGATGAGAAGACAGACGGCCACCTTAGTTTATGTTTATGACGTCATGTCACAGTTGCTGTACACATGGTGTCACATCATCTTGGTGGACCTCGGCTAAGTCTGAGCTCATTGAGTCCAGCGATATGTAAACAGTTTGTTGTTGTCTGTTTCACAATTCTTGATACACTCAGAACAAAATTAATTAATTAAATAATTATATTAAGATGGCGATGTTAATGTACAATCACTAACGGTTTGTTTACACTCACTTCACTATTTTCTTACCTGATCATGCAAGGTTCCAAACAACAAATGACAAAATGTCTGAAAATGACCTCAACAAGTTTTATCTATATTCAGAAAGAAAAACGAAATCACCTGAATCATGAATGTTTACACGACTACGTGAACGGCACACACCACATCAGTGTCTGTAACGACATGTGCTCCGTCTTTGTACACCAATACTACATTGACTCCAGTGAGCACTACGTGACACCAGGAAATCCAACACGCGCTGATGTTCCCAGCATCACGCCATGTCGGCCGCTCTCATCCCATTACACGACTACGTGAACGGCACACAGCACATCAGTGTCTGTAACGACATGTGCTCCGTCTGTGTACACCAATACTACACTGACTTCAGTGAGCACTACGTGACTCCAGGAAATCCAACACTCGCTGATGTTCCCAGCATCTCGCCATATCGGCCGCTCTCATCCCATTACACGACTACGTGAACGGCACACAGCACATCAGTGTCTTTAACGACATGTGCTCCGTCTTTGTACACCAATACTACACTGACTTCAGTGAGCACCACGGGCACCAGGAGATCAAACACTTGCTGATGTTCCCAGCATCTCGCCATGTCGGACGCTCTCAGCCCGTTCCTGGTGTTGATGTCCACCATGTTCAAGGACACGATCAACTTCAGTCTTCAGGTGTCCCCAACAGGCCAAGTGAAGGATGATGTTACCTGTTCCCAGAAGGAAGGGTGACCTGCTCTGATATTCTCTACTGTTGATGTTGGCATGACCAACTAAACAATCTCCAGGGCCCCGTTCCTCAAAGCGATCGTAGCGCTACGACTGTCTATGTTAAAGTATGGGAGTTACGATCATCTTAGCGCTACGATCACTTTGTGGAACGGGGCCCAGGTGTTCTCCGAAGTGAAGGATGTTGTTACTGTACTTGTCCACCACAGAGGCCCTATTACTCATTAGGAGCTCCACCACATCTCTGTGTCCCTACCATGCCGCCGCCATCAACGGTGTCTGGATCCCCCATCCTCCTCTAGTGTTGGCGTGACAAGTCCCCCAGTCCTGTGTCTCCCTATCAAACTCGATCACTTGGTCACATTCGTCCATTAAAAATTTCTGGCAGTGCTCTCTTAATGCCTCACTGTGTAGTTTTTCAGTTTGCCAGACATGAATTAAGCCCTGTACATTAACCCCAGAAACAGAATAGATGTAAATAACAACTGACCCTTGGGGAATGTAACATTAAGGTTCTGAGTTCACATATAAATGATATTATAGTGTTAAATATAAATAAATTATCTTCTCAGTTTAGCCAAATACACTATGGCATGTGTAGGATTATTAAACCCTCTTTATTAATGGAACTCATCCATGAACTTCTTCTTTTGTGAAATGTGAATACTGTGCCATGATATATGTAGGTTTATGAAACCCTCTTTATTGATGGAACTCATCCATGACCTTCTTCTTTTGTGATATATGAATACTGTGCCATGGTATATGTAGGATTATTAAACCTTCTTTATTAATGGAATTCATCCATGACCTTCTTTTGTGAAATATGAATACTGTGCCATGGTATATGTAGGATTATTAAACCCTCTTTATTAATGGAATTCATCCATGACCTTCTTTTGTGAAATATGAATACTGTGCCATGGTATATGTAGGATTATTAAACCCTCTTTAATAATGGAATTCATCCATGACCTTCTTTTGTGAAATATGAATACTGTGCCATGGCATGTGTAGGATTATTAAACCCTCTTTATTAATGGAACTCATCCATGACCTTCTTTGTGAAATATGAATACTGTGCCATGGCATGTGTAGGATTATTAAACCCTCTTTATTAATGGAACTCATCCATGACCTTCTTTTGTGAAATATGAATACTGTGCCATGGTATATGTAGGATTATTAAACCCTCTTTATTAATGGAATTCATCCATGACCTTCTTTTGTGAAATATGAATACTGTGCCATGGTATATGTAGGATTATTAAACCTTTATTAATGCAGGAATACATTTTGCAAAGCAATGATGAAATAGATATGATTTAACTCTATATTATTGTACCATATAGACATGTTGGACAGGTAAAAGTATTGAAGCTTCATCCAAGTTTCTTTTCTTTTTTTATCCTTCTCTCTCTCTCTCTCTCTCTCTCTCTCTCTCTCTCTCTCTCTCTCTCTCTCTCTCTCTCCTCTCCCCAGCATGTAATGCATGTTGGGATATAGTCACATGTAATGCGAGGGGGATATAGTCGGCCTCGTCCGTCTGTCCATAATCATTTTGTTTCAACAGCATAACTAAAAAAACGTTCAATATTTTTCAACAAAAACTGGTAGATATATCAAACAGAACCTAAGGTGTTGCCTTTAGCTATTTGCAGATTTTTCCCGGTTTCCATGGAAACGATTCACACTTTGTCTCAAAAGGGAGGGGTGGGCTTTTTCCGGAACACAACTCGATAACCGATCAATATCTTTCTTCAAGACTTGGTAGATTTATCAGACATAAGCTAAAGTGGTGCCTTTTGCTATTTGCAGATTTTTGGCATTTTTATTTTTATTGGTTTCCATGGAAACGATTTGGACTTCAAGTATCAAAAATCAAGTTGGACTTTAAGTAACTGTCAGTTGATTTGTTCTTTAAAACTTGGGGGCCAGGGGGATTTGTCATCTTCTGATTTTTCCTTAGAAGTTACACAGTGTATTAATCACAGATTGTGAAGGGTGAATGTTTCATTATCAAGATTGTGTATTAATTAAGCAACTAATATTTACTAAAACTGTAGTTCCAGGATACGTCAAGGTCAAACCCTTGAATGACACCTACTGAGACAATGACTGTGTCAGAAAACTTTCATTAACATCACATTCTTTAATCTCTTTCCTCATCCCACAGCAACTGATATTCAGTGTATTTAAGTCCTCTGTAAGACCAGTGATTGTTTGCCTTTATCAAACAGATCATCAATAGTCTGATTTAGTTGAGATTTCACCATCCGTCGCAAATCAACTACTGTCTGATTCAGTTGCAGCTGTAAATAAAGGATGTCTTTGGTCAACTTGCCACTTTGTTTTCCAAGATTCTTTCTGAAAGTGTCTTTTTCACTTTGAACATGCCTCAGCTCTTGCATTATTGCTTTCAGTTTTGTCTTTGTGGTTTGTACATTGGCTTTCAGGCTTTGAACTTCATCGAGCACATGTCCGCTGATAATATTCCCGATATAGTCTTCTTTCAGGATGTCGGTAGTTGCATGTTCGACTAGATGCTTTATTAGGGGAGGAACGAGTGTTCCGGTCAGTTTTCAACTCTTTAAAGTCGTTAATCATTTGAGTCTTAGTGTTACCAGCTGTAAGTTTCCATGCATTAATCTCCCCTTCCATCAGTCAAAGCTGCCAAACTGGCATCAGCTTGTATGTCGCTGACACCAAACAACACAAGACTGAGGAATATAACCATCTGTATTGTGCAAGTGAACTGTGTAGCACGCTTCTAGGAAGACTAATGCCTCTACCGATAAGTGTTTGGCAGAATGCCAGCTGGTGTCCTCCCATTTGTTAGACAAAAAACAACACATGTTTTTGCTGAATGCACAGCTAAGGAATTACCTGTTACCTTACATAGATAATGGAATAATTCATGCAGAATGATAAAATAACAAAATAATAATTTTAGTTTTTGATGTCAGAAAGACATAAAAACCATTATAGTCTGCATAAAATTGATCAGTATATGATAGTGAAAAAAATATGTCACTTTGGTCTTTCGGTCTATCCTGTTTTGTATCTCCTGATACACTCTCTTCTTACATAGTGGAGCAGCTCCAGAGGCCAGCTGCGCAATCTTGGCCCTGTTTGCCAGTTCAATTGTCTTCACTATTTCAATGAACCGAAGATGTTTGGATGACGGTGGTGCTAAGTCCTGTTCAGTCTCCTGTGAAACCCAGCCAATTTGTTAGGTCTTGGTCTTTCTTTCTCGCTGTGGTTCCACAGGGGTAACGGAAACCTTTCCTAGTAGTCGACCCACGTGCGGACCATGTAGTCTTTGAATTCCTCGATGCGCTGATAAATCAGGGGGAGAATCTTCCTCCACAGGGCCTGTGAGTAGTGGAAATAGCAGCCCTTGATGATGGCATCAGGAAATTCTCTCTCAATGACTCTCATGGCAGCTGCCTCAGTCGTTCTGTAGTCTTGTTGGGTCCAAGGGAGGGTTAAAGTTCTCCAACACCTTTGCCTCGAGATGAAACAGTGTTGCATTACAGAGTGCATGCCACATGTAGGTGTTATTTATGGGATACTTATGTGATATATGGCAACATACTTGTGAAGTGTTATCTTACAACTGATTATACATGTTGGGTGTTTTCTTACAACTGATGATGCTTGTCACATGATATTGTACACCTGGTGATACTTGTCACGTGTTATCTGACACCTGATTTTGCTTGTCACGTGTTATCTGACACCTGATGATGCTTGTCACGTGTTATCTGACACCTGATTTTGCTTGTCACGTGTTATCTGACACCTGATGATACTTGTCACGTGTTATCTGACACCTGATTTTGCTTGTCACGTGTTATCTGACACCTGATTTTGCTTGTCACGTGTTATCTGACACCTGATGATGCTTGTCACGTGTTATCTGACACCTGATTTTGCTTGTCACGTGTTATCTGACACCTGATTTTGCTTGTCACGTGTTATCTGACACCTGATGATGCTTGTCACGTGTTATCTGACACCTGATGCTTGTCACGTGTTATCTGACACCTGATTTTGCTTGTCACGTGTTATCTGACACCTGATGATGCTTGTCACGTGTTATCTGACACCTGATTTTGCTTGTCACGTGTTATCTGACACCTGATGATGCTTGTCACGTGTTATCTGACACCTGATTTTGCTTGTCACGTGTTATCTGACACCTGATGATGCTTGTCACGTGTTATCTGACACCTGATGATGCTTGTCACGTGTTATCTGACACCTGATTTTGCTTGTCACGTGTTATCTGACACCTGATTTTGCTTGTCACGTGTTATCTGACACCTGATGATGCTTGTCACGTGTTATCTGACACCTGATTTTGCTTGTCACGTGTTATCTGACACCTGATGATGCTTGTCACGTGTTATCTGACACCTGATTTTGCTTGTCACGTGTTATCTGACACCTGATTTTGCTTGTCACGTGTTATCTGACACCTGATGATGCTTGTCACGTGTTATCTGACACCTGATGATGCTTGTCACGTGTTATCTGACACCTGATGATGCTTGTCACGTGTTATCTTTCACCTGATGATGCTTGTCACGTGTTATCTGACACCTGATGATGTTCATTACGTGTTATCTTACGCCTGATTTTGCTGATCCACTGGTCTACTATACAACTTGCTGAATGCTTAACTTTGGGGGGGTGTGTGTGTGTGTTTGGTGTTATAGCCTTGATCAAGCAACTTCTGAAGAGGAGTGGTATGGCGCCATTTGAAATCTTGGTAAATAGAACATATTTGATACATTTCTGGTATCCTCCTGCCACTCACTATAGTTATTGGGGAAAAGGTAACTTAATAGTGCTAGGTGAAGAAATTTCAGTGCTTCACTTCTGACATGGAAAAGATTTGGACTTAGTAAAAAAAAAAATCAAGTTGGACTTTAAGTAACCGTCAGTTGATTTGTTCTTGAAAACTTATGGGGGCCGGGGAATGTGTCATCTTCTGATGACTGTTTTTTGCCTTAGAAGTTACAGTGTATTAATCACAGATTGTGAAGGGTACATGTTTCAATATCAAGATTGTGTATTAATTAAGCGACTAATCTTTACTAAAACTGTAGTTCCAGGATACGTCAAGGTCAAACCCTTGAATGACACCTACTGAGACAATGATGGTGTCAGAAAACTTTCATTAACATCACATTCTTTAATCTCTTTCCTCATCCCACAGCAACTGATATTCAGTGTATTTAAGTCCTCTGTAAGACCAGTGATTGTTTTTGCCTTTAGTTGAGATTTCACCATCCATCGCAAATCAACTACCGTCTGAGCTGCAGCTGTAATGCACGGATGTCTTTGGTCAACTTGCCACTTAGTTTTCCCAGATTCTTTCTGGAAGTGTCTCTTTCACGTTCAACTGTTGTGTAACTGCTTTAAGTTGTGTCTTTGTGGTTTGTACATTGACTTTCAGGCTCTAAACTTCATCGAGGACATGTCCGCTGATAATATTCCCGATATAATCTTCTTTCAGTATGTGGGTAGTTGCATGTTCAACTAGATGCATGTGTTATCTTTCAACTGATGATACTTGTCACGTGTTATTGTACAGCTGATGATACTTCTTATCTTACAACTAATTATACTTGTCACGAATTATCTTGCAACTGATGATGCTTGTCACATGTGGGGGCGGTGAGTGTGGATGTCGGACTACAACACTGTATATAAGCGGTTGATGGAACACATCTGGCACCTACATCCAGAACAATGTGGCATCTGCATTACCCACAGGCACTTATAGTTTGGTATCTCATGTTCAGAAGATGAGATTGGGCTGGTACACTATTGCTTGTTATTAAAATTGGTGCTATGACTTTTCCTGTTTGTAAATAATGATGTAATGAATAAATGTTTTTAAACAAAAACTCATTTATACTTTGTACTTAAATGATTATGTATGCAGACTTGGTCTCATCGCCATATGGCTGAAATAATGCCGATGCTAAAACTCAACGGTACACTATTCACAGCCGAGTTAAGATGCTCGCCATGCAAGGGTCTCCAAGTGCCAGTCAGCTATTGGGGCCATTAATATTTCAGAGTGACATTAATCTTCTTGGACAATTTTTGCACTTTATTTACATTCATGAGACATGTTGCAAACATAACTCCACAAATAACGATCTAATGCAAGTAACATAACTTTGGGCACAAACGTGACTATTCTTCACCCATTAAAAGCCAGGTGAACAAATCCATTAAGGGTCTTCAATAAAAGCAACAAATCCCTTTCCACATCCACAAGAAATCTCTGCCAAGAGCAAGGTCGATTGTATGAGTTGACTTTATCGTAAGTATGTGTTCAGGAACCACTATCAAACAGTGTTGACACCAGGTGTTCATCTTATGGCAACTGCATCCTGCCCCATCGGTGGCATTCATCATAAACACAGGCATGGGCAAGTCAGTTGTCCAGCGACCCGTGGAGATCCTGGTTAGAATTGGTCTTCAGTAACCCATGCTTGTCGGAAGTGGCGACTAAAAAAGATCGGTGGTCAGGCTGACTTGGTTGACACATGTCATCGTGTCCCAATTGCGTAGATTGACACTGGCGATGTTGATCACTGGATTGTCTGGTCCAGATTCGATTATTGACAGACCACAGCCATATTGCTGAGTGCGGCGTTAAACAACAAACCAATGGAGCAACATTAGTAGTCCAGCTGAGAAAAAATTCTGGAACTTTTGGTACAAGTCAAAATAGGACACCATTTTGGTGTTATAGCCTTGATCAAGCAACTTCTGAAGAGGAGTGGTATGGCGCCATTTGAAATCTTGGTAAATAGAACATATTTGATACATTTCTGGTATCCTCCAGCGTAATATTGCTAGAATATTGGGGGAAAAAGGGGCGTAAAACCCAACTCACCAACTCACTATAGTTATTGGGGAAAAGGTAACTTGATAGTGCTAGGTGAAGAAATTTCAGTGCTTCATTTCAGACTTCTGACATCAGCATCCGTGCAGTAGTTTATTCTATTTAGATTTATCTATCAAATCCTAATTACTCATATCTTGGAGTTAAGTGTGAAAATCTATTACAGATAAATCAGATTGGGGTATATACAATCATCCCTGTACAAGGAGTCAGTGGGTAGCTACATGGGTTTAAAAATCAAATGTGTCGTGATACGTTTTAACATGTGCTACCCTCGTACGGCTGAACTAACTATATATGTTATATATATGAAACATGAAAAGAGAACAAAAGTTCACATATACATTTGTATTTCATTGAGATACTTAATGTTGAACCAAGAACAAGCCAGCGATGTGTTTGGTTATCTGTGAGATAATTACTCGTCATTTCCGGACTCCGATCCCCCTTGGGGTCTGCACAACTGAAACAGTAAATTATAAATATAAGATCTTATGTTTTGTCCCATCACGCAAACATACTCACCAAAACACTGCCTACACGTACTGCACACCATAATGTTAAATATACTCTAGGGGCGTACAAATACACAAATCACTAATTGGCATCGTTATAAATGAAACCCCGTCATTAAAACTACTCATTTCGATCTTTAATTGACTTAAATCGACCTTTTCGACAACAGTGCACAATTCTCGACCGCGAACGAAATTTCAACCAATCAGAGCGGTGCGTCTCTGTGTCGCCATATGAGGAATAGATATGATGGCCGATGCAGAATTCATGTACATTTCAGGGGGTAAATTATCTTGTTTACAGGTTTGTATAAACCTGAAATCGTGACAACTGTTGTGAAAAATGAAAGCTATATGTTCTCACAATCTACTGTCATTTGATTTTGTCTCCTGCTTTGCCTAGTTTCCGAGTTACAACTTGTTTTCATAGACGATTCTGTCAAAATCGCTTGGTGTCGCTAGGCCTAATTTGTTCGAGCCAGACGCTAGTGATTGTGAAAACGATGATCAGCCTCGCTCATCAGTCAGTGTGACATTAAGAAGGGTGGATGCCCATCGGATGCAGTTATTTGAAAATATCCCCGGTAGTTCTTGTCTGATTGTAATAAAGTGTCAAAGCAGAGAGCTTTTTCAGGTTTTCTAATGCCTGGATGGTATGATTGATCCCATTTCTGTGTTTTTTTACCTCGATTTTTGATCATGTCATGCAAAACTATGACGTCTATTACGTATGATATTAAAATGTATTTGATTTATTTGAATCCGTAAACTAAACCCTACTTTGCCATTGCTAGAAGAATCTGAAAATGTACTTAGGTACATACAGTTTTAGCACACAGAAAATGCCTATATGTATTTCTTATGCAACAATGAAGTTCTGTTTGTATTCTCAAAACAGTGTCGGACCATAAGTTTTCACATGCAATACAGCAATTAATACTCCCTTGTTGTAACCCCTGTTAGGTGTCTTCTTTGATGGGCATTTTAGAAGTTGAGTTGATGAAGAATAATGACAATTATTATGGATATACAACTTCTTTTATTCTGTGGAGGCCAACTACTTTTTTGATCGCCCCTCGTTTATATATACTCAAAGGCAAAAGTTAGTGTGATCAACACATTTGTTTATATAAATAGGAATTGTGTTATAACGCATTGTAATATTACTTATACTACACGTAATCCATAACCCAAACAAGGTCCTGTCGGTAGGTTTTTGTTTTGCATGCAGTTTTCGTGCTTCAAGAAGTCCGTGAAAAAAAGGCATAAAACGTGCCCTTTAAAAAGTGTGGCCTCAAAACCTCGAATCATTGTCACCCAAATCATTGTTCAGGCGTCGACGGGTCCGAAAAACACAAATTTGAAAGAATCTGCTTGCATTTCTCAATGCCACTGTTCATTGAAAATGAAAGGTGGCAAGCCATTGGAATGCTTGAAACCGGCACACCCCAGCGCAAAGTTTCGCAGCAGTTTAACGTGCACAGGAACGCCATATGCCGCTTGTGGGGACGTGATCAACAAAACGCCGTCGTTGCAGACCGTCCTCGAAGTGGCCGTCCACCTGTAACTACGCCACGCAACGCAACGATCGTTGGATTCGAACCACATATCTGCGCCAAAGATTTCAACCACTCACACTGCCAGCCCGAATAGTTCCTGGTGTCAACAGGATATCACCAAGGACTATTCGTCGGCGTGTGGCTGCACACAGAATAGGTGCTATAGACGTCCTGCCAGACGACAAATTTTGACATTACGTCACCAGCGTCTACGCCTGCAGTGGTGATGGCCTAGTCTGTCTCACAGTCCCTGAACCACATTATTTTCCCTACTGCCAAGCTCTCTCTGCAGTGCTAAAGCCCTAAATAAAGCAAGTCTAGATTTCCTCAGGTTCTGAATCTCTGGTCTCCCTAGGGCTCCTTTTCAATTTAAATGGGCTTGTTTGTTACTATCAAAATTATATATATTCAGAGACTAAGCCTTAGTCTAGTGATGGCCGAACCCAGATCTGTGCCCTATCGAACACGTCTGGGATGAACTGGATTGAGACGTTGGCCAAATCCCCTGGTCACGCTTCAGGAACTCCTTCAGATGCTTCCACGGGTATGGAATGCCATTCCACAAGACTTCTTGCGACGTTTGATTGGCTCTATGGGGCGCAGGCGTCAAGCATGCATCAATGCTCATGGTGGACATACACGTTATTGACTGAATTTAATTTTGACCGTTCTCTCGATGTGACCTGATGAGCATGTGTCCGCCAAAAAAGTTAAAATGTGCCATTTGCAATGTTATTGTGGATTTTTTTTTTGCAGTATTAAAAATGTCTCATCATAAAAAATCAGTTGTTAATTCTCATATCTAACTTCTAGTCAATCACAATGATTTTTGCCTTTGAGTATACATGTATCTACAGAGGCAAGATGGCAGTTAGCTGTATCTTTAGTCAACAATAACACGTGGATCCGCCAGATACTCCACAACTATCAAAATATTTCAGCACAAATCTTTTACATCAGTTTGGTTTGGTCAGGTCCAAGTGCACACAGAACGCTCCAACTGCTGGTTACTTACGCCGCCAAAGACGAAAACCTGCACTTTTCATGAATTAGCGTACAATAGGTATTTTAATGCAATGATGATCGTGCCTTGTGGGTTTGATTTAAAAAAAAACAACAACAATAAACGCCCTACCACTTAAGACAATTGTAATGTTGCCTTCACTTATATGTCTGGAAGGAAATATTGTTGAAATAAGGTCCATTTGTTGTTGTATGGAATAAGTGAGGGAGTTTAATTTTACGCCGCATTTGCAATATTCACGCAACATCACGGCGGGGCCGCATTTGCAATATTCACGCAATATTCACGCAACATCACGGCGGGGGACACCAGAAATGGGCCTCACACATTGTACCCATGTGGGGAATCGAACCCGGGTCTTCGACGTGAGAAGCGAACGTCTAAACCACTAGTCTACACCTCTGCCCCTTGTATGGAATGATAAGGAGTATAGACGACTGAAATACGATTCATGATCATGAAAACCTTTACATTGTCTCGCAATTCTGGTACCCAGGACAGGTCATGTCGATGTGTGAACTGGCTGCACTCTACTCAGTGAGTTAGTTCAGTTTTACGCCGCACTCAGCAATATTCCAGCTTTATTGTGACGGTTAGACTAACAACTTGTCCCTGAAATGAACATACTTTACTGAAAAAAGTTCATAGTATAAAAAAAAAAATATATAATGGAAAGAAGCCCTGAGACTTTCTTCATTTTTCAGAAGCTGAGGAAATCTAGACTTGCGTGGGCTTTCTTGGATATATTTGCTTCAGGGTCTGCACGACAGACTAGGTGGCGGTCTGTATATAATCAAGTCTGGACCAGACAATACAGTGATCAACAGCATGAGAATCGATCTACGCAATTGTGATACGATGACATGTGTCAACTAGGTCAGCGAGCCTGACCACCCGATCCCGTTAGTTGCCTCTAACGACAAGCATGGGTTGCTGAAGACCAATTCTGACCTGGATGTTCATGGGTCACACGCTACTCAAGTTACGTGACCAGTAAACTAATACTCCGTGGAGAGCAAACGAAAAAACACTACCTTGCTCAGAATTCCACCGAACTGGCAATTAAACTGTCTTTTGGCGTCAAAACCAGCCCGGCCACCAACAAGGTCATCCTGGGCTGTAACATCGATGGCGCTGATGAGGATGAAGACAGCTAGGATGGCGATAATTTTACTGAAGACAAGAAACTTTGACACAGAATGACGAAATAAGTATTGGCAATTCATTGCACAGACAGATATGAAGACTGAAATTCTTCAAAGGCATTTAGACTGACTGACTGAGTTTGGTTTTACGCCGCTTTTAGCAATATTCCAGCAACATCACGGCGGGGTACACCAGAAATGGGCTTCACACATTGTACCCATGTGGGAATTCGAACCCGGGTCTTTGGCGTGACGAGCCAACGCTTTAACCATTAGGCTACCCCGCCGCCCCAAAGGCATTTAGAGAGTGTAGTAATACAAGACAAATCTTATGGATAACAACTTCTTGATTTATTTTTTTCACCACGTTTCTTGGCTTGTTCTTTCTCCTTCTGACCATTAATTATGCATTCACATGACAATTATGTATTCACAGTCATGACAATTAATTACTCTATGTAATTCGTTGCTGAGAATCAACACTACACTGAGATCCGTGGTAAGAGTCACGGATCGGTCTCGGTATTAGGGAACTCGAATTGGCGACATGAGTCACCCCTCCCCCATTGGTCAAGAATCCGATCGGGGGAGACATAACCCTGGCTAAACACATAAACTGACCACAGTGACCTACACCAAACATGGAATGGGGGAAAAGCCGGGTACGGGCCAGGAATGTCAGCTATGTCAATTAATAGAAGGTATAAATAATTGTGAACCAGCAGTGCTGGGCGGGTTGGACTGAAACTCGAGAGTTCAGAGCCACCCCTTGTAACTACCAGAATAAATCGTGTGGATCCCAAGACGGACTTGTGTGCTGATTAGAGTCATATCCCCCAGAGCATCAACACACTGAGGCGGATACTACGTTCTTTTTTCTCACAAATGCTACCTGATTGGCTTTCTTCAATATCAAAGACAACGATAATGGAGATGTCCTATTGACTTTGAGGTAATGCTTAAGCATTAAGCATTAAGAGGTATTCCGACTGTACGAAGGTGGCCTGTAAAAAATCGAGTCCGGACCAAACAATCCAGTGATTGGCATTGAAATGCTACCCAGACTCGATTGTTTACAAACATAGTACAGCTGCAACACTGCTAAAAATAAATATATATTCATGATATAGTCAGAGTTGTACAATCACTGCTTTTAGCAGAGATTTCTTACGCATGGCTATAGGTCTAAAGAATTGAGTCTGGACCAGACAATACAGTGATCAATACCATGAACATCGATGTACGTAACTGATACGATGACATGTGTCAACCAAGTCAGCAAGCCTGATAACCAGATCCCGTTAGGACCGCCTCTGTGGTGTAGTGGTTAGAGCGTCCGCCCGGAGAGCTGAAGGTCGCGGGTTCGATCCCCGACCGCGTCATACCAAAACACGTTAAAGTATGGTACTTTTGTTGGTCCCTGCCTGGCGCTCGGCATTAATTGGTACAACAAGGACTGGTCGGCTGGGAGTCAGTATAATGTGTCTGAGTGGGTATTCATGCTTCACTGCGGCATGGTATCTCAGTGGGCTAGCACTATAAAACCAGCTTCAGTCTGGGCTAGTACAAGCAGCCGCACATACACATACACACACATGCACGTCGTCATATGAGCGAAATATTCTCAAGCACGACGTAAAACCCAATTTCACCTCACCTCACAGATCCCGTTAGTCGCCTCTTACGACAAGCACGGGTAGCTGAAGACCAATCTTAACCCGGATCGTTGCAGCTGGTGGTTTAAACATATACCGACACATACCTTGTCTGAATAGGAGCTCCCATCTTCCTCGAATGTAATGCAGTTGTCCTGGGTGGTATTTATACAACCGTAATGTTATAATTATATACAGACTGGGTATGTGGCTGTGTTTCATGTTGAAAGGAAGTATTATATACAATAGTCGTACAGCTATGTTAATACAACGACACAGCTGTGTTGTTACACATAACTTTGATGAAGCGTACATAAATGTTCGATGCTCTGTCATTATGTTTCATAATCATAAATCAGAAAGCATTTGAATATCGGTACTGATATGTTCATTTAATACTTCTCCAAATGAAACTTTACAGATAAGTATCAATACCAATGATACCGCAGATAGTCAAACTAAAGAATAAAGATATTATTGAAAATGAAAGTATGGCTTTGAAGTATTTAACCACATGTTTTTGGCATAACAAGTGAATTAGATTAACATATACATTATGAAACTTTGTACATGTATGTAAACAAAACGACTGGTTATACATGAAAGGGATTGTTCTTATATAAAGAATATTATTCATACCTTGTTTAAACATGCTAGATGTGACGCTACCTCCAGCGTTTGATGGCGTTACCTCCGGCGTTTGATGGCATTATTTCAAAAGGTGTTCCTGTAACGTCTTCCTTCATTATCATAAACATTTGTTCAGTGCAAGAATAAACATTTGATACCAATACTCGCATTAGCATATACATATTTATTTTGTACAAGTTAGCCAATAATTTAACAAAAATGTTTTAAAGACGCAATTTACATGCGCCTACTTAAACTTTTATATACTTTCTAAAATAGTTTAAGAACAATTTACCGTATGATATTATGAAATGCTCTTATATAATGTTTTATGTTTTTTACACAATGGTTGTATATTCTCACTAAGTTTCTTATTTATATTGTTCATTTAATACTCTATTTTGTAATATGCTTCTTTATATTTCATAAGTTTTAAATTGTTAGTGTCTCATAACCGAGTTATAGCTGGATGACAGTTTTATTATAGAACTATTTTGAATGCCTTGATTATACCTATTGGTACGCAGTGGAAATTAAACTAGAATACCTATGTTTTGCGGTGGAAGTTAAACTAAACTACATAAATTTTGACTTACCTTTCAATCAACTAAACGTGAAATCACCTTTTAACCAACTAAACGCGAAATCCCCTTATAACGCAACGAGAAATGTGAAATAAACTAATAAATAATGAAGTTAAACATAACATGAAAAAAATGTCTATCTAGCAAATGTTAAATGTTAATGGATAATTTTCTCTACTATTTCTATTTCTATTTAACTACTACTCTAGTTGAAAACCTATCACTTGGAAGAGACAGCTACCCGTCAACAGCCCGTCATCAGCGCCTAAAACTGAAAGGCTAACATCTGTTAACCGTACGCTGTCGACCTTCGCAATGAATCGCGAGCAGCATGAAACGCTAATGTCCTTGCCGCGCTTAAGGTGTATTTGTGCTATCAAGCACTGTGTCCGAGAACATCAGTTCTTTGCGGTCCCTCCAGAACACCTATTGTAACTGTCATGTGACACTTTAATAAAATACTTCTGTCTGTCTGTTTGCCTGTGTGTCTGTCTATGAGACAGTGAGGTGACTTGGGATGAAAAGCTACTTGCCTGTTGCACCGCGTTGTCAGATAGCTGAGACTGATTTTACACATAATATGCTGAATTAAAGAATGATAACAATTTGAATGTCAGATGATCATTATCAAGGATTCGTGCTACATTTTATGTATTTTGTCAGACTGAGTGTTAGGTAGTTAGCATTATTGGTTTGTGTTTGCTGCCCTTTGCTGCTTGAACTAGTCCTGAAATGAACAGGGGCCGGAAGTCTCGCGAGGCGCTACTTCCGGTACCAGATTTCCGGTGGCAAGAGTATATTTAAGAACCAGTTTTGTTTCCAAATTGCGCGACCGCCAAAACATGACCATACTAGACCGGACAAGTATGCACATCTGTTGGCAGTCGTAATAGTTGGCTAATTTGGGATTTGTTATACATGCAAGGATCATCGGTTCCTTACTGTGAACTGACAACCATGAGACCATTCGAAAAGGTATGAAACGTTGTTTGTCACCGGAAGTAACTTGTTAACTTGTGTATTAATGTAAAAGTCTGTTACAACTTCACTGTCATAGTAAAATAAAGAAATACCCCAATTACATTGAGAGCAGGACGGTTAACAAGAACACATGTCACATTCGTCCTCTTGCATAGAACACTGAACACAGTGTACCCATCAGTAGGGCCCGTAAGTAGGTCACGGAGCTTTGCGAGACCTTACGTTGATTAGTACTTCCGGTCACAAACAACATGTCATACCTTTTCGAATGATCTCATGGTTGTCAGTTGAATATGTTCTCGTTTGCGATACCATTAGGTTTTCTTCTTTTCAGATGGTGTATGCCTGATCTGATGTCTGAAGTCAAGATATAATTGTATATAGTATTAGTATTTTAGCAGTACTTAGACCCCCCATACAGGACTAGACTACATATCCAGTGAGAAAAGTGATCTTTACAGAGTCACTGGTCTTGTTTGAGATGTGAGGTGATAGTCTCCGTTATATAGTATCATAACTTCAGAATGAGTGAGCGAGTGAGTGAGTTCAGTTGTACGCCGCACTCAGCAATATTCCAGCTATATGGCGGCGGTCTGTAAATATTCGAGTCTGGACCAGACAATCCAGTGATCAACAGCATGAGCATCGACCTGCGCAAATGGGAACCGATGGCATATGTTAACCAAGCCAGCGAACCTGACCACCCTATCCCGTTAGTCGCCTTTTACGACAAGCATGGGTTACTGAAGGTTCATTCTAACCCGGACCTTTACGGGTACATAACTTACCAAGAATTACCAAGACACAACCATATGAACTAGTATAATGAAATACGTAGAACGTTTGTTCGGGTTTCTTCTGATGCGTTGTCGGGCGGTGGGGTCGCCTGCTGGTTAAAGCGTTCGCTCGTCACGCCGAAGACCCGGGTTCGAGTCCCCACATAAGAAAAATGTGTGAAGACCATTGTCCCACGCCGTGATATTGGTAGAATATTGCCCAAAACAGCATAAAAAAATACTCACTCACTCTGATGCTTGTTTTGAAAGCAATATCTTCTAGCTATACAACGCTGTCTGGATGTAGATCAGACATTCAGAGATAAATATCTCTGCGAGGGCTCTGTGACACACGGAACTGTCGGCCAAATGTCAGTATTTAAACAAAATACCACGAAATGCCGTTGTCAAGGGCTATATGAATATATTTCAAAACTGTACTTTTTTCTGGGATAAAACGAATAGTTTTAGGTTACTTTGTAGTGGGTAAGGTTATGACGCTGTTTCCTCATTCTAGTAAGAGCATCGCAAATGTTTGCTGGACTATTGTTAAAGCGGCGTAAATTCATACTCACTCACTCACTGAGTCAGGTGTTGAATCATTACGATCGCTGGACGTCAACAATTTAGACCTTCACCACATGACGTCAATACGGAGAGTAGAATGTAGAATGAATAGAATAGAAGCTTTTTATGAAATGTTACCATTTCGATTGTACATAACGTTACTTTGCTTGTCTTATCCAAGGTCTTGGCAGACATCATCGTGTTCATTTCCATGCCCTTGCTGTCCCGATGTTATTTTTGTTTAATATATTGTTCGACGCCGCACTCAGCAAGTTTCCAGTTATATTTCGGCAGACAGTCAATGGCGAGTCCGGACAGTCAAGGACATCCATCTACAAACTGGTAATATGATATCATGCTTTAAGTCAGCGAATCCAACCATCCAATCCCGTAAGTCGCCTCTTACGAACCCACCCAACTCGGATGAACCCGACCAAAAGACGTTAAAATATGGTACTTGTTGGTCCCTGCCTGGCGCTCGGCTTTAATAGGTACAACAAGGACTGGTCGGCTCGGATTCAGTATAATGTGTCTGAGTGGGTTATTCATGCTTCACTGCGGCATGGTATCTCAGTGAGCTAGCACTATAAAACCAGCTTCAGTCTGGGGTAGTACAAGCAGCCGCACCTACACATACACACGCATGCACGTCGTCATATGAGCGAAATATTCTTCAGCGTGACGTTAATTAAACCCAATCTCACCTCACCTCACCGGATGCACCTCCCGAGAAGTACCACACTAATAAATCTGTATTCCGGAACGTCTGAACACAGTCCCGTGTAATATCAACAACATAACACCTGGTGCTAAATATTTATTGCACAGCTTTGCAGTATACAGTGACGGTACAACAGTGACGCGTTCTGTATGTCCCTCCGTGAAGCAAACAATACTTCAAACAGGCCAAACACTTTGAGCTGCATGTTTTCGTTTTCCCTGCATGAGGGATACACTGCAGATATGTGTGTGTAGGAGAGAAACAGTCCGAGAGTGTGTGTTTGTGAGCGTGGGAGAGTAAGTGTGAGAGAGGGAGAGAGACTGAGTGTGTTTGTGTGAGAGAGAAAGTACGACAATGAGTATGAGAGTTAGAACTGAAAGTGTGTGTGTGTGTACGAGAGAGACTGAGTGTGTGTGTGTGTGTGTGAGAGAGAGAGAGAAAGGCGGAGAGAGAGCGCGCTTCGGTGTCTGTGGGAGAGAGGCCGAGTGTGTGAGAGAAAGTACGACAATGAGTGTGCAAGAGATAGAAGTAGAGTGTGTGAGAGAGAGTCAGTGTGAGAGAGAGAGAGAGTATATGTGTGTTAGAGAGATTGGGTGTTTCTCTGTGTGTGAGAAAGAGACCGAGTGTGTGTGTGTGAGTGAGTGACAGAGAGGGGAGTCAGTATGTGTTTGTGAGAGTTAGTGTGTGTGTTTGAGAGTCAGTGTGTGTAAGAGAAAGAACGACAATGAGTATGTGATATAGCATCCGAGAGCGTAGGTGTGAGAGACTGAGTGTGAGTGTGTGCGAGAGAGAGAAAGAGTCAGTGTGTGTGCGAGAGAGAGAAAGAGTCAGTGTGTGTGCGAGAGAGAGAGAGAGAGAGAGAGTTAATTAGAGAGAGAATGAGAGAGAGTTTGTGTGAGAGAAAGTACGACAATGAGTGTTCAAGAAATAGAATCCGGGCTTGTGTGTGTGAGAGAGAGAGAGAGTCAGGAGAGTGAAGAGAGTCAGTGTGTGTGTGTGTGTGAGAGAGAGAGAGTCAATGTGTTTGTGAGAGAGCGAAAGAGTGTGAGAGCGAAAAGAGTGAGTGTATATGTGTGAGGGAGGGTCAGTGTGTGTGAGAGAGAGTGTGTGTGTGAGAGAGGGAGACAGTGCGTGTGTGTGTGTGTGTGTGAGTGTGTGTGTGTGTGTGTGTGAGAAAGAGTCAGTGTGTATGCGTGCGAGTGTGAGACTGAGTGTGTGAGAAAATACAACAATGAGTGAGTGAGTGAGTGAGAGAGAGAGGGAGAGTCAGTGTGTTTATTTATGCCCATGACTATTTCAGTCCTGGATTACCAAGTACATTATTTTGTATCTCTAACTTCTGGGTGTTCAAATCAAAACAAATTTTTATTTGCGAATGGGTCCGAGGTATTTGCAATAGCAGACTGAAGTCATGCAACAGTGGTAATCGCGAATGAGCCCAGATTCACGGCTAGCGAAGTATTTGGTGTGAACATGAAGATACCACAGCTGCTGTAGATAGTAAGCTCTTTGTTTGTTTGTTGTTTAACGCCGCACTCAGCAATATCCCAGCTACATCATAACATCCATCTACACAATTGGGATTCGATGACACGTGTCAACCAAGTTGGGCTGGGATGGGTCCAAATTTCCTACCCGGGTACTCGAACCCCTGTTACCCGACCCGACCCGGGTACCCGTTATAACGGTGTCCTCCCAAAAGTTAGACGTCCCAGAAGTTAGACGCGTTAAAACAACAAAGGTTATGGTTGGTTGCACTGAGGTTCACTACACTGTTACCTTCGTTAATTAATTGCCTAGCCCAGCTGTACTAATCCAAACAACAAAGAGAAGAGATTATGGATACTGACAATGACCTTATTTGACATAAAACAAAATCTATAATCCTGTTTTCATCAAAGTGAAAAACGTAAAACAAGCATGCAAAATCTATAATCTTGTTTTGATCAAAGTGAAAACAAGTATGTACATGGATGGATCTGTTTAATATTTTTTTTACAATTGATATGTACTAAAGTGAGAAAAGGAATATATTTTTCTGTATTATTTTATTGAGAGCCGACAAATTTACAAGCACTTCCACAGTTAAAAAACAGTGGTTTGAACTTTATCAATTTTCTCCTCATTATACATTAGAAAAGAATTAAATAATAAATGGCTTTTTCGGTGTCGGAGCGTTAGCACAGCAGACCCTCTGAAGTTTCCACGTCACTAAAAATCCACGGGTCGATGTTTATCGAAGAGAGGCCAGACGTTTGTTCAAAAAATGAGGGTAGTGCTAAGGCGAGGGTCATTGTTCAAATATTAAAAGCAATTAGACAAATTGAATACGACGAGCAGAAAGTTAAAAGAATACAAGCTCAACACAACGTTTTGTGAAAAACGTATCTTTTGATTAAACCGCTCGTTAAAATATTCGGGCTGTTTGAGCATCGCGAGTGTCATCCCTTGTGCATTTTATGTAATGAGTGTAGCGGTGGAAGTTTCTTAAAAATTCATTTCTTCACCGCTCTCGTTCAAATTTGAAATATAGGTTATATCATAACGTATAAAAACAATATACGATTGCAAAAGTCTAGATTTTTATTTTTAAAAACTATTGTCCAAACAGTGATTCGGACCCCTGCGGTAGAATACATGTATTGTACAGTGAAGGATTTCGAGTCGGGGGTCATCTCAAAAACAATATTGTTTAAATTTTTAATCCTTGCAAAAACACGAGGGCCTGTGTTCTGTAGTGCCTGTTTTTCCCCGATCCCCGTTTTGCCTTCTCCAATTGTAAGGAATTTCCCCTTGTTCTTATAAAAGCGTGTAACGATAGTTCTTGATTGTAGTCTCTTACAGTGATTATGTTGTTTAAAGGCGCTTCTTTGGTGATTACCAATGTGTTCATTCGCCGATAAAAACCTGAGTGCCAAGGCTTGTGTCTGATCCGTGTTTGATTATTTTCCCAATTAAAAACATACGTTCTTGGTCCATATTCATCACTCTCTTCCAGTAACGAATCAAATATATATCTTGTCGTACACTTAGTTGTCCCTTGCGGGTTCCATCCTATGTCACCAATAACTGCTTCGTTAGCCTCGACTTCACTAGCCTAGACCTAAGTAAAATCTCATAGCACGGTTTTGCATTGACTTGATTGATGAATAGATTGAAATGCCGTAAGTTATAGCTAGCCAAACTAACTAATGCATTGTACAGTTTGGTAAAAGTTTTGGAACCGAGTTACCTAATCGGTAACAATACGTTTGAGGCTTCCTTTACTTCTGCTGAGTCGTACTTCATGTTCATAGACTCATATGTGTAGCTGTCACATTGAGACGGACGTCTGCGTTCCTGAGTCTTTTACATGTAAACAATTAACTACTTGGCCTACTTGCAACCTATGGTACACGTGGCATTCTTGGTTGTCGACAGTTGATATATTGTGAGTTTTCAGTGCTAGTTTAGTCCACAATCTCAAACAGAAGACAACAATCTCGTTGTAAATATAATAATTATAAACACATTCAATTAAGTCTTCATTCATTAGTCACGTGATCAAAGCGGGTCCGGGTAATGTGATGGATACCCGGGTCCAACTCTTCACCCGCCCGTCCCGGGTATCTGGGTTACCCGTCCCAGCCCTACAACCAAGTCAGCGAGCCTGACCACCCGGTCCTAAGACAGTAAGGTATAGCGAGGGCGGTCTAACACAAATATCTAATACATGGGACAGCACAAAGCACGAAACGGCAACTTACTGCATACAAATCACTAGCTTTAGGACTGTTTGGGGGTAACACAAATACCCCATCTTTTGTGCTTAAAACTAAAGTATTCTGAACGGAAATCATGCTTGACGGGGTAGTGTTCAATGACGTCAAGACATTGTATTTTCCACTTAACGGATACAATTTGATGACATCACGGTCGTTATTGAAATATATCACTTCTTGAGAGCGATCAAAGCTCAAAGACGTTGTTTGTATTGACTGGATTAATGTCGTAAATCCTTTTCCTGAATAGCTACACCGAAGTAGTTTTCTTGAGGTGCTTACATACATCACACGTCTCTTGGAGTCAACTGTAATCAGCTGAAGATCCTCCATGGATTGGAATGCGTTTATTGGCGTACCATCTACTGTAATCCTCATAACTCGTTTTGATGCTTCAGCTGTAACGACGTATGCTTCATGTCTGTCGTCATCCACGGCGATGTCTCGAACCAGAAGGTTTTCCCAAATAGTCTGTGAGCTCTGTCTTTCCAGTTTGAAACTTAGTAGCTTTCCACCGTGACTTACTGACAAAAGGAGACCATATGATGACGGTATGTAACCAATGGCCGTCACATTTTCCATGTCTACAGGGTACGTCATCACGGTCCACGATGGAAAGGCGGTTTGATAAAACTGACTCTTCCAATAATCCGCCATAAATGGCACAAGTAGCACTCTGCGTTTGTCCTGTGGATGCGCGACTGTGGGCACTGTGGAGACGGTTGAGACTGTAGAGCTGGGATGTGTTTCTGTGGAGGAAATTACAGAGGAAGACATTATCAACATGGGAATTGACAAATGGTACCTGCGTGTACATGCAAACTGCCATTTTTATTGCAGTTTTGCAAAACTGTTTATCTGAGCTTTGTTAACGGTGACTACAATTCGAAACACCGGCAGAGATTAATCAGTACCCAAACACTGACAGATATTGATCAGTATCGAAACACTGACATATATTAATCAGCATCAAAACACTGACAGATATTGATCTGTATCGAAGACTGACATATATTAATCAGCATCAAAACACTGGCAGATATTGATCAGTATCGAAATACTGACAGATATTAACCAGTATCGAATACCGACATATATTACCCAGTATCGAATACCGACATATATTGATCAGTATCGAAACACAGGCAGATATTAATCAGTATCGAAACACTGACAGATATTAATCAGTATCAAAACACTGACAGATAGTAATCAGTATCGAATACCTACAGATATTAACTAGTATCGAATAACGATATATTAAATAGTGTCGAATACCGACAGATATTACTCAGTATCGAATACCGACAGATATTACCCAGTATCGAAACACCGACAGATATTAACCAGTATCGAAACACCGACAGATATTAATCAGTATCGAAAAAGTGACAGATATTAACCAGTATCGAAACACCGACAGATATTAATCAGTATCGAAAAACTGACAGATATTAATCAGTATCGAAACACCGACAGATATTAATCAGTATCGAAAAAGTGACACATATAACCCAGTATCGAAACACCGACAGATATTAACCAGTATCGAAACACCGACAGATATTAATCAGTATCGAAAAACTGACAGATATTAATCAGTATCGAAACACCGACAGATAGTAATCAGTATAAAATATGTATCAAAATTTCATAGTGATGAACTTATCAAGGTAAATCAAAATGCACAATGAAAGAACTAGTAGAAATTCCTGAAAATCATAAAATTGTATGAACATGCGCATCGATTTCCAAAACTACTTACTAAAGGACTTCTATCCTGCCTGCTTTAACATTCATTAAAGTTCTAAATAACAATTGTACGTTGAACTAAACTATATTTTCACAAATGTGATTTTGTAACCGAGAGTAGACCATGTGTTGTCTTACCACAATGCAATGCCCCCGCCCGGCTGTAGAACATCTTAGAGCCTCTTGAACACTGGGCAGCGTCAGGTACGTCTCGCTCTTCCCCCTGTAGGGAAACAATGTGACCTGCTTCATATCTGAAGATCCGGGTTAGAATTGGTCTCCAGCAACCCATGCTTGTCTTTAGAGGCGACTAACAGTACGGGGTGGTTAGGCTCGCTGGCTTGGTTGACAGAGGTCATTGAATCCCAGTGGCGTAGATCGATTGTAATGCTGTCGATCACTGGATTGTCTGGTCCAGACTCGATTATTTACACACCGCCGCCTTATAGCTGGAATAGTGCTGAGTGCGGCGTAAAACAACAAACAAACAAACAAACCAACTGACTATCGAAAGACATCATCCTCATGACAGACTGGTGAACACTGCAGCTCGTGTTGTAGCCTGTCTAGAATTGTTACAACTTCATATCTCAGTGAATCATCTCCTCGTATTAGTGAGAGAGTGAGTTGGGTTTTACGTCGCTTTTAGAAATATTCCAGAAATATCACAGCGGGAGACACCATGATTGGGCTTTACACATTTTACCCATGTGGGGAATCAAACCCGGGTCTTAGGCATGACGAACGAACGCTTTAACCACTGGGCTACCCGACCAATGGCGAACCTGACCAATTTATAACAATCCAATTTCTACAGGCGACTCCTATAGTTGGTCATCTGAGTCACTGTATGAGATTACGACATCAAGTTATCACTGGAAACAACCTACTGTCGGCAATTATTGAATTATTGTACACCAGGCACATGTCATATATATATAAAGTTTTGTTATCTGACAGACAGTTATATATATATTACTGTATATATAAACAAGTGACTTCTGCAGGTGTATAAGCAATAATATATCAAATATGAGTCCAGATATTTCTTCTTGCCAAATCTCCTTTATATCTGCACAAGATCTTTCGCCGTTCAACGGCTGTTCATTATTGTCACTAACATGCATGATGACCACATATGGTCATATGACGACACTCAGCTTTCATTGTACTCCTGAAGAGCCGTTGAACGGCGAAAGATCTTGTGCAGATATAAAGGAGATTTGGCAAGAAGAAATATCTGGACTCATATATATATATTATTGTCTGTCAGAGAACAAAACTTTGAGGGGCCATATCCTGCCAATGCCGTGTAGTCAACGGAGGGATGCAGCTTCGCATGTTTGTAAACAAACCCTTCCCTCAAGACACTGGAAACCATATTGTCGTAAGAGGTGACTAACGGGATCGGGTGGTCAGGCTCGCTGACTTGGTGTACAGACAGCCATATAGCCGGAATACTGCTGAGTGTGGCGTTTAACAACTACAACCAACCAACCAATGCGATGTCCATGTATGGCACTGTTCAGCTTACCTTCTGACGCTCCGTCCGTGACATCCTGCTGTTTGTAGACGACATCGTAATGACGTAGGTTACGCGACACAGAAGACTGGTAGGGTGGAAGGATGGGGCTGTACAACCAACAATTGTTCTACACAGGTGTCTACACATCTCTGGACCAAGAGGCTGTCGGTCGTGTGCTGGGAGGCTGTACGACTGTGTGACTAATGTTAGAGCTAAAACAACACACAGATCCATTTGGAAACTTGTAAAAAGAATTGTGTTGAGATACTAACTAAACACAAAATGAACACGAATGCCAACGTTTTCTAAAGACGCCCAGTGCTTGGCTGCGTTCACAGAGAAAATGACCCCAAATAATTTCTGTCAATACAATACTCGTCAATTATTTGGAAAAAAAAAATGGATATTGCTATCTGAAATTGACATTTTTTTACCAATTATTTAAATATATGATGGGTTATGGAAAGGTTGATGTACTGATAAGTACAAGAATTAACTAAAACCATGCTACTCTAGACTGTCCGTGGCTTTGTTTAAGTGGCTATTGACAGTAGACATTTACATCCGCTTTGACAGAAACATTTCAAGCTCCTATCATTTGTCATCAGGAAACGACTTATTGTCTAATTAATAGCAATTCAAATGTTATCAAGTATGAAATCACACTTTTCATATTCCCAAACGTCTTTACAGCTCAGAATTCCCGAGGCTGTCACAGATATGTACTTTCAGATTTGACCTTTGATTTGAATCAGAAACAATTCTGCTTAGGGCTCAGTATATCCCAACATCTGTCTAATAACTAATTAATTATTATTAATTTCTGTTTTATATTTATTTTTTAATGTTCAGGTAAATCTACTTCTGATGAGTGGGCGTGTCACTGTGTGACGGCAGTGATTCAGGGACAGAGAGACGCGAACAAGCGAGCAATCAGCAACATCATGACATGTGAAATTCTTGTCCAAATCATTTCTTCCCGACGCGATCAACTTGTGGAATGATCTACCTGACGAAGTAACTAATGCATGCTCATTAAAAGAATTTAAATCATTAATCAAGCGCTCTGAGAGAATTATTAATAACCTGGACTTGAATTATGGTTCTAGATTCTTCCAAATTGTCCACTGTCGCTGATAGGTTTAGGCGCCATGTATCAGAAGCCCCAGACTGCGGTACACGTGGGTATCAATTTCAGGATACAACTCAGTTGTTCTTCACCTGACACAAATACCACACTATCAGAAAGACTATGCTTGTACATACATTACCATAGTTCAGTCAGCAGTTCCTCAAACATGGACATCCTTCAATCAGTTCATGACTTTATCGCCAAAAGCAAAAGATTTGTGCAATTTTAAACTTATGTAGAAAAGATAACTGCAAAATTATCATTTTCCACAGACTTCAAACTACTGACTATATATATTTCATTTCAGCAATTGTACATTATATTTAGCACTCTACATATGTATGCATTAACCAGCCGTTTCAACACATTACCTGGAGAGGTATTTACATAAGCAAGTTTTGCTTTTTTACCGATCCAGATTTCTTTGGAAATAATGAAATGTTTAAACCATGTGAAATTCTTGCCTGTTTGCGTCCTGGAAACATGGATCAAGGTAGATCATTTAATGGTACTTTCAATATTTTAGATAGATCGTAAATTTACCAGATGTATTTTAGTATATAAATGGATCGTTAATGTAAACTGTCATTCGTTTATAAGAGTGCCATTATAAATATGTAACAGATTGAACAAAATGTCTTGATTTGCAAACCTGTCATGTGATAAAACTCGATGATTCATACATAATTTAAGTTCATCTTTCGCACACACATTAACTGAATAATTTATCGATGTACGAATGTATTACCTACCCCATGAAGTGAAGAAAGTAGAGAGTGCCAGTTGCAATTATTTGACTGCTCTAAGAGTGAGTGAGTGAGGGAGGGAGGGAGGCAATAAGCCGTTTTCATCAACATTCCTGGATATTAGGGCAGTTGTCACCAGAAACTGGTACCACATATAGTACCCATATGGGATTCGAATTGGGGGTGGTCATGTAATGAGAAAATACCACAATCACTCTCTGTACTTGTAAATGCTAGACTCTTAACAAGTTTTCTGCTATAGTGCACATACTTGACACACCTTAGTATTATTGCTATTTGAATGTGTACAACTATTACCAATATATTCATATGTACTATATTCATAATCAATGTATATGATAAGGCAGCAATAAAAGGATTAAAAAACAAACAAACTATGTACTGAATACATACAGCTACTTGTGAAGTATTTTACTACTCTGAGAGTGAGTGAGTGAGTGAGTGAGTGAGTGTGGTTTTATACCACTTTCAACAACATTCCTGCATATTATGGCAGTTGACACCAGAAACTGGCCCATACATGGTACCCATATGGAGATTCAAACTGCGGGTTTTGGTGCTCTCAGCAAACACTTGAACCACTGGGCTAACCAAACTGCCCCTGAAGTAAGGAAAGTGTCAGTTGGAGGTGAAATTACTATAAATTCACAGCTGTCAATCTTACTAGTGGATATAAAAGGTTCTAGAGTTTACTATGACAAGCTGATTACTACAGAACAAAACTTTGCTACTGTGTTTAAAATGGCAGAGCACATTACCTTCTGATATTGACTGGAGAATGCTCCAGAGTGAGTAAGTGAGTGGAAAATGCTCCAGAGTGTGTGGAAAATGCTCCAGAGTGAGTGAGTGACTAGAAAATGGTTTTACTAACTTTAGAAAATGTACAAATGTAACAAAGCTTGCGCATTTCCAGTATAGATTTATTCACAGAATTATTTACACAAAGCATGAGCTGCTTTGAATGACCCTTGTGGATAATAAGACTTGTAGTTTCTGCCAGGCAGAAGATGAGGATATTTTCCAGGTATATGTTGACTGTCACTGTGTGAATGACCTCTGGAAAAAGCTTGAAACAATATTGAACTAGTATGTACTCAGAGGCATTTAACTGACAAAAAAACCCATATTGTTTGGCCTTCCAAGAACACAAATTCTCACAGAATGGTCCAAATTACTGTTTGGACAATAATTTTCAAAAATAAAAATCGACACTTTTGCAATCATATATTGTTTATATATGTTATGATTAACTTATATTTCAATTTTGAAAGAAATCGGTGAAGAATAAACATTTTAGAAAATTCCATGGCTACACTCATTACATGTAAAATACTGTCCAAACAGTGATTCAAACAACAACAAAAAACACTATGTACTGAATACATTGAGCTACGTTTGAAGTATTTGACTGCTCTAAGAGTCAGTGAGGGTGGGAGGGCGGTAATATGCTGTTTTCATCAACATTCCACCAATATCATATCAGTGGACACCAAACACTGGCTTGACACATAGTACCCCAAGTGGGGATTTGAACTGGAGGTCTTGATGCAATGAGCAAACACTTTAACAACCACCCTTAACCCACTGCCTCGAAAGTGTGGAAAGTGTCAGTTGGAAGCATTTTACTGCACTAAGAGTGAGTGAGTAAGTGCATGAGGGTTTGCAGGAGTGAGTGAGTGAAGGAAAGATTGAGGTAATATGGTGTTTTCATCAACATTCCTGCAATGTTATTTTAATTGAATTTGTGGTGTAGCTTCTTGGTTAAAGCATGTGCTTGTCATTCTTAAGACCTTGGTTTGATTCCCCACATGGATGCAATATGTGAAGCCCATGTATGGTGTGCCCTGATAGTAGTGGAATATTGCTAACAGTTATATTGAAATGCTCAGAAAATTTCTCCATAGATATGCATGTTTGCCTTCACAGATTACCATCTTCCTCTTCCAAAGCAAGTTCCTTCTGTCCAAGGATCACATCAGGTTCAGAAGTTGACAGCAGTTCCTCTTCTTCTGGGCGATCTCATCTCTCATCTGTCAGATGGCAAGGAAATGACAGACCTTTTTTCCCACATGTCATCTCAACACAAGATTTCATACAGCAACAAAAAGAGTTTGGATCCGTTTGATGAAGATTTTGTCAGAGTTTCAAAAGTTAGTTGGTAAAACAACATTAAGTTCATCTTAAGTTCAGATTTCCAAATAGGGAGGGTTTGAAACCAATTTCATCACTTGCCCCTTGAGCTAAGGAACAAAGACATTCTAAGAGTCTAGTATCTGCCTGTTTGCAGAAGAGAGATTAATTCTTAGTGTAAAACAACTTGAAATGACCTGCTGCACCTTTTCAATTAATAATAATTTCATTTAATATCTAGAATAACTTTAGTTAACCTGTAAAGTAACTCAACTTAATGTGAAGTGTGTAATTTGGGCGTGTAACATCCACAGCTGAGTGTAAATCCATTTCTTTCAACAATTATTGTGAAGTCTTTGACATACACACACGTATTTATGGCAATTTCTGAGATTCTTGTAGTTTGCTGCTATCATTTCTTAACCTTGTGAGCTTTAATTGTCAAATTTGATCATTAGTGTAAATACAGTGTTGTTTTGACTGAGGTGGTGGGGTAGCCTCTTGGTTAAAGCATTTGCTTGTCATTCTTAAGACCTTGGTTTGATTCAGATACCTCACTCATCAGATTTGTCAGAGATGTTTCCTAGAACTAATGACAAGGAAACCTGTGACAGTTGTACTCAAACTGATTGTACAATAACATGTGATTTTGCAATGTCTCCTGTAATATTCCCAACATCAGGTAAATGTGAAGCAGGTACGCAGTACGACATTGAACATGAGTTAGTGATGTTGAATGATTTTGAGATGACCATGGAGCAGGGAGACAGTATGGAGCTGATGGACTGTGTGGCGCAGATGGATGTGGTTCTGGGGGATAAACAGTGGACCATAAGTGACACCACATTGGACACTGGTTCCCAGACAGACGATGTCCCCAAATACTCCCTCAGATCAAGAAAACAATCTTCTTTTCCAGATATAGTATAGTTTTGGTGTCAATGATATTGATCTTGACTTAAGATGTTGTGCATGGAGCCAATGTGGTGCCACTAGAAGGGTCCTGTGGGGGAGATCGTGGACTTCTAGTGTCATTAATAAATGCAACACACTTGTTCCAAACCCGTGAAGATCCGTGTTAGAATTGGTCTTCAGTAACCCATGCTTGTCATAAGAGGCAGGTGGTCAGGTTTACTGACTTGGTTGACACATGTCATCGTATCCCAAATGCGTAGATCAATGCTCATACTGTTGATCACTGGATTGTCTGGTCCAAACTTGATTATTTACAGACTGCCGCCAGCTATGGCATTAAACAATTAAAACCAAAACAAACTTTCCCATGTTTATGTTACCATTATGTCAGTTTAACAGGCTGCATATATAGTGTTGGTGGGAATACATCTGGTGTAAGGCTGTTAGGCATTATATTCAACATTTGTTATTAACTCTTTTGTTTTGAAATATGTAATTTTTGGAGTAAAATTGATATTTTATACTTATCCTGACTCATGCTCTTTTGCTTGTCTTCTTCTTCTTGCGAACATAGTGGAACACTTGTATCTCCTTATTTGAAGCTCCCTTCAAAATAAAATCACTAATTGGTACTCACCACGAGTTGCCTCCCTTTGTCTCCCCTGGCGGGAAAAGGTGTCGCCACCCTCTGCCCATGTGCTTCACTCTCTCCTGATTTTGCGAGCCCAACACTTGGACTTACAGGGAAATCCAAAGTGTTATGTGGGGAGGATGGGAGGGCTAACCTCATGAGTCAGGATAAGTATAAAATATCAATTTTACTCCAAAAATTACATATTTTTCCTTATCCTGACTCATGCTCTTTTGCTTGTAGCATCCTACGGAACGGAGGTGGGAGTAACAGAATACTTTGGATTTATAATTAGTGATTTTGTATAGATATACTGTAATATCCCCTACGGGAACTTCATGAAGGCTTAGATTTAGGATGTTTCCTGTATAAAAAACCATAGGTTATATAAAGCCATTAAAGGGGAATTACATTATGAATATATTGAACAATACATATAATATATATATATATATATGTGACTCTGATAGAGGCACTGAAATTGAATATATCAAAGTATATGCTTAAGGTTGAATAACTTAAGCTGAACATATATACATAGCCCTAAAACTCCGTAGAGTTATAAGCTAGATAAGTATGTATAAAATACAT